CAAGCAATGTTGCAAGGTCACATGCTGCATACTATTTCTCGTACGATTTTTAAAAATTTGTAGGCAGTATACATCACAGAATGCAATAAGCCAGGACAGAATTGAGAGTGCAAATAAAGAAGCTCCCCAATCAGTTTCACAAAGGTAAACTTATTTGTCTTCTGTAGACGTCTCCTCCCTCGAACAAGTGGCAGTAGCGCTGGGCTGAAGTTTGTTGCCTGGGCCTTTATGCCAGTTAAATTAATTGTGCAGCAGTGATACTAACAGGCCACTATTCATGACTGGTTAGCTGTGTGTGTGTGTGTGTGTGGCCTGGAAAAGCTGTTTGAGTTTTGCACTGAACCAAGGTCTGTCGTTGTTAAAGGTTAAATAGGTCCTGGTGGGAACACACATGTCCTCACAGAAACTGATGTAGGATGTCATGGTGTCTGTGAGCTCATCCAGATCAGTGGCTGCAGCCTCAAAAACACTCCTATCATTGCAGTCGAAGCAGGCTTGTAAATCCCGCTCTGCTTCATTAGTTCATCTCTTTACAGTTCTTACTACAGGCTTCGCAGATTTAAGTTTCTGCTTGTAGAAGATGAACCAACTAGTGATCAGAGAGTCCCAGTGCCGCTTGGGGGACAGAGTTGTATGCATCCTTTAAAACGGTGTAGCAATGGTCCAGTATATTGTTTTCCCTGGTGGGCATGTGATGTGCTGTCTGTATTTAGGCAGTTCGCAGATAAGATTAGCTTTATTAAAATCACCGAGAAGGATAATGAAAGAGTACGGGTAACGCTGCTCTGTGTGTGTGATCTGATCAGCCAGCTGTTCTAGTGCTGCGCTCACACACGCATCAGGATTCAGGAGGAATGTATGCACTCACCAGAATAAACGAAGAAAACTCCAGCAGCGAATAAAAAGGCTTACAGTTAATAAAGAAAGCTTCCAAATTTGGGCAGCACACATCTTCTCTAAAACTGTAACATCTGTACACCAGCCTTCGTTGATATAAAAACATAATCCACCACCTCTCGTTTTCCCCGACGACTCGGTGACGCAATCTGCTCTGAACAGCTGGAAGCCTGTTAGATGAAACGCGCTGTCCGGGATAGCTCCGTTCAACCAGGTTTCCGTGAAGCAAAGCGCAGCAGAGTTTAAAAAGTCATTGTTTGTGCTGGTGAGGAGTAGAAGTTCGTCTGTTTTATTTGCTAGGGTGTGGAGATTCTCTGCAGAAAACTCTGCAACGGAATCCTAAAATAAACTCCCAATTACTGCTTATTGATAGCAAGGTAGTTGTTGTAGTAGGTATGCAGGCAGGATAAGGCATTAATAGGTGCTTTATAAGTACTAATAAACAGTCAATATGCTAGTAACATGCATGCTAATAAGCAACTAATTAATAGTTAATAGTGTTCCCTAATCTAATGTGTAGGTAGGTTTTTTTTAAATGAGCCATTATGCAACCACCTAAGAACAACCTAGCAACCACACAGCAACACATTAAAAAACCTTTCAGAACACATTAACAACAGTATAGAAACATGCTAACAACCCCCAAGAACACCTTAGCCTTCACCAACCATATACTGTAGCAGCAAAACACCTTGTCAATTACATAGCAACGTCCTAGCACACACCCAGAACAAACTAGAAAATAACAACCACATAGCAACAGTGTATTAAGCGCATAACATTCCCTAGCAACTGCACAGAACACCTTATCAAGTAGCAACCACATAGCAATTTGTTAAAAAGAAACTCTCAGAACACCTTATTAACTACATAGCAATGTCCTAGCAATCATCCAAAACACCCTAACAAGTAGTAGCTATACAGCAACACATTAAAAACCTCTCAGAACACCTTAGCAACTGTAGTAGTATAATTTTATTTAATGCCATGTCAGCATCTGAGGCTATTTTCATGGCAAAAACTCAATTACAAAAATACAAATATCACATAAATACAATAAAATCCAAGCAAACAAACAAACACAGCAAGTAATATAATACAAGATTTTTTAAATTAACATATGATAAAAATTCTAATACCTTTTCAGGCAAAATCTTACTAAAGTCCTTAAGTGAACTAACTTAATAAAAGAGCTTTCTACTTGCATTAAAACCGGGACAGCCCAAAAGAATATGTTTCCTTAGCAATTGTATAGCAACGCCCTAGCAACCACCCAGAACATCTTAGCAAGTAGCAACCACATAGTAACTCATTAAAAACCTCTCTAAACATATTAGCAAGAGCACAGCAATGTCCTAGCAACCACACAGAACACCCTAGCAAGTATCAATTACATCTAACATTGCTTTCTTAATTTTGACAACTGCATAGCAACACCCTAGCAACCACCCAGAACACCCTAGCAAGTAGAAACCACAATACCTCATTAAAACCTCTCTGAACACCTCATCAACACACAGCAATGCCCTAGCAACCACACAGAACACCCCAGCAAGTATCAACCATGTTTAACATTGCTTCCTTAAACTTGGCAACAGCACAGCAACGCCCTAGCAAACCTCTCTGAATACCTTAGCACAGCATAGCAATGCCCTAGCAACCACACAGAACACAGCGAGTAGCAAGCAACCACATAGCACTCATTAATAACTTCCCTGAACACCTTAGCAACCACACAAAACACCCCAGCATTGTGTTACTTTATAATGTCTTCCTTAATTTTGGCAGATGGATCAAATAATGAGTTTAGGTTAAAGAAAAATAAAAAAAACTAAAACATTTGTTTCTGAGAAAACAAATTGACAGCATTTGCTGAATTAAACAAGCAATGTTGCAAGGTCACATGCTGCATACTATTTCTCGTACGATTTTTAAAAATTTGTAGGCAGTATACATCACAGAATGCAATAAGCCAGGACAGAATTGAGAGTGCAAATAAAGAAGCTCCCCAATCAGTTTCACAAAGGTAAACTTATTTGTCTTCTGTAGACGTCTCCTCCCTCGAACAAGTGGCAGTAGCGCTGGGCTGAAGTTTGTTGCCTGGGCCTTTATGCCAGTTAAATTAATTGTGCAGCAGTGATACTAACAGGCCACTATTCATGACTGGTTAGCTGTGTGTGTGTGTGTGTGCAAGGTGGGAAGGAACTATTAAAGAGGCTCACGATCAGGAGGAGGAGGGTCTCTCTTGGGAACCGAGAGGAATAAAGGGTGTCGGAGGGTAGAAGGCAAAGGAGGAGGGGTCAGTGCCACCCACCTCACACACACTTTGCGTTAGCTACTTGGGCCAGAGATTACAAAGCAGAGGAAGGCTTGATGCTGGCGGCGTGGCGTGTGCCACCTGCTGTCCCGGCCGTCTGGGGAATAGAGGGCAGCGTGCCCCAGGCAGGACACACTGTTGTAGTATCAATTGTCAAGCGGCTGGAATGACTCTCCCGGGACATGAGAGACAGTGAGACCTAATCAGTAGAAGTGAGGGGGGACCAGGGGACACAGAAGAGCCATAGGGGGACACACATGGGGGACACTGTTGTCCAATTATTCATGACTTCATGGCTGGTAAAAAGGGACCGACGCTAAAGAGGCAGGCGACATCAAAAGATGACAAACAAATGAATTAAGCAAGTGTGAAGAGAGGCAACTAACTCCCTTTATAGCACCTTATGGACAACAGCCATGCGAGCTGACAGGTTGTCAGAAAGAACTTGTGCAAGGTGGGAAGGAACTATTAAAGAGGCTCACGATCAGGAGGAGGAGGGTCTCTCTTGGGAACCGAGAGGAATAAAGGGTGTCGGAGGGTAGAAGGCAAAGGAGGAGGAGGGGTCAGTGCCACCCACCTCACATATACTTTGCGTTAGCTACTTGGGCCAGAGATTACAAAGCAGAGGAAGGCTTGATGCTGGCGGCGTGGCGTGTGCCACCTGCTGTCCCGGCCGTCTGGGGAATAGAGGGCCGCGTGCCCCAGGCAGGACACACTGTTGTAGTATCAATTGTCAAGCGGCTGGAATGACTCTCCCGGGACATGAGAGACAGTGAGACCTAATCAGTAGAAGTGAGGGGGGACCAGGGGACACAGAAGAGCCATAGGGGGACACACATGGGGGACACTGTTGTCCAATTATTCATGACTTCATGGCTGGTAAAAAGGGACCGACGCTAAAGAGGCAGGCGACATCAAAAGATGACAAACAAATGAATTAAGCAAGTGTGAAGAGAGGCAACTAACTCCCTTTATAGCACCTTATGGACAACAGCCATGCGAGCTGACAGGTTGTCAGAAAGAACTAAGATTTTATTTATGAAATGGCAACTCTGTTCACTTTTACTTAGGAATTCTAACCAAAAGCTGTAAGATTAAAAAACACAATGTTCCTACCAGAACAATAAATGAGTATAACATAAAAATAAAATAAAATGCAACAGAAGGTGTGAGAAATAGAAAAAGAGATGGATGTCAGTGTAGGGAGAGAGAAATACAGAGATAGACAGATAGAAGGGAACAAGACAGCTGGTATCTGCCCAGAGGATCGGCAAATTAAAGGGATTTAAAGGGAAGAAGCTGCACTGGTGCTCTGGAGAGGAAAAAAAAAACTCCTCGTGTGCTCTCTTTTCTCCTGCTCTATACTATGGACAGCAGTGACAGGACTGAATAATATCCTTGGTTTATTATGGCACCCAAAAAGTATTTGGACACACTTAAAAGCCATACCAAGTGGCATTTATTGTACAGAAATATAGCACAAACAAACCTGTCAAGAAAAAAAAAAAATATTGACACTTTCTGGTCATGTGAACATGTCCATGTAGTTAATGTGATAAATGACAACTGTGGTTACTCTGCTAGGACACCTGTTTGAGCTGGAGGGGAACCGACAAATCACCCTGATGCCACCAACTGGTTAAAAGTAATTGGGAAAATTAGTAAATTGAAGTGTGTATTTCCAACTTAAGCGGGGGAAAAAAAAAAAGTCCATATACTTTGGAGCAACTGTATAACTGTATAATGTATTTAACACTTTACATTTGTTTACATTGAAAATACCGACCTGCCAGACGGTTGTTGACCCGGTTGTGGCGAGACCACAGCCAGAGGACAGTGGCAGACAGTGAGGTCACATGATCCATGCTCTCCTGGGCCATACTCTCAAAGTGAGTTGCACATGGCCTGCATCCGAAAAAACGGCTGACATAACCTCTCATCGCCTGCAACACTTCCTGAGGATCTGAGATCAAGAGACAGAAAGAGAAGAAAGAAAAGAGAAAATGGGCAAAAAGAGGAAGTAAAAAAAAAAGAACAAAAGAGTCATTGCAAGAAAAGGAGTACTGCCAGTTTTGGGTGTATGAAGCATATGAAAAATACTATATTATCAATATATTATAATATCATGCATTAGTATTAGTATTACTGCTGTACATGTTAAAAGTACCTGGGATGCCCATTTCTTTAGCCTGCACTGTGAGCACATGGAAGAGGGTCCAAAAGGCGCAGGGGTATCCACGGTAATGGGATTCAGATCCCTGGCAGCCCACCCACTGTACACCCTCAGGCAACACTGCATCACTTGTCTAAAAGCACACATACATACAAACATAAAGTCTCAATTGACTTATGTTTCACTTAAACATCAAGAATCAATTGAAAACAATCAATTTTCCTTTCAGTCACTCTTCAAATGAAGTGAGGTGGATACTGCAATTAAAGCAGGTATGACTGTTAGAAGACATAAAATCTCTTCAGGGATAATTTTCAATCATATTTCACCATGCATAATTAAAAGCCCATATCAAACAGCATTAAACTCTTTGGCCTGTTTTGGAATTAATCAAGATCTCCCACTGGTCAGTCTCCTGTGCAGAGTCACTCAGCAGTTGATTGGTGGGTGTGTCTATAAGAGGCGATGATCTGGATGACACCAGCCCTTTTCCTTATGGGACACCTTCCTACTTCCTCATTGATTCATTGATTGGGTGGCTAAAAGCTAATGATGTCACTAACTGCTTCTGTGTATGTTTGTGCGTGTAGGCATCTGAGCTTCAGCATCGTAAATCCTTGTTCAACAAAAAATGAAAATTCAGTCATTTACTCTCTTTGACTGACTTTCCTCACAAAAGAAGATATTTTTATAAAATGTCTCAGTATTTTTTGTCCATAAAAATGAAAGTCAGTGCAGCCCAACGCCACTGACTTTCACTGTGTGAACAAAAACTATCTAAAAACTAAAAAAATATATATTTTGTGTATATGATGACAGAATATCCATATCAGGGTGAACTATCCCATTAAGTAAATCTCTTTTTTGACTACATTTGAACATTTAACCATAGTGCATCACCATGCTTAGCCATATGAAATCATTTTTATGCAAGCTGCATATGATGTTGAATGTCATGGCTTGAAATTGTGCTTGCAGTGGCTTAAATAGTTCAAACAGATGTTTTAATAAATTTACATGAGTGACAGCATCCCAATACACTGACCTCATAACCCAAGTGTGGAGAAACGCTTATGTCAAGTTATTGACATATTCAGGTACCTTTGTTTAATAAATGCAGTACTTTGCTATATCAAATGTCTGGTTGTCAAAATTCGAATTAATCATTACTAATATCATTTATAGCTGTAAAATAAAAATTAATAAATAAAACAAAAGCTCTTTCTGGAGATGTTCTGCTCAGGTAAGCTTGTCTAACCTGCACAGTGTTGTCCAGGACATCTCTAAAATCGCTGTATTTGATCTCTGTCCCCTTCTGTTGTTGTAACCAGCTGTCCACGGTCTTCAGTGCACTCTTTACAGATGGACGACCTGGGAAATACTACACAAGCAAAGCACATAATCACATACACAGCCATACACTTGTGTTTGGGACCAGGCTAGGCTAAAACATCTCATCATTTACATAAGTCCTTTTAAACCTAATAAATGTGACCGCTATTTCTGCTGCACCAGTAGCTGTTGTCAAATGGTAAGATCACTAGATTTGCTAATGTGCTACTAGAAGACGCTAAGTGACAGTGAAAAGGCACACTGCAATGCTCCGAAGATTTACAGTCAGGGAAAGCAGTGAGAAAATGTCCATTTAAAGATAAATATCACAGATTCAAGACATATTAACAATTATAAAATTATGTTAATAATACCAATAATAATAATAATTACTATTATTGTGATTATTATTATTATTCCTTTCACATTAAACATTAAAAATATAATAATAATAATCATTATTATTATTATTGATTGGTCAAAGATTTCTTGATTATTATTCTTGTTACAATACATAGTGTTCTTTGTTTCTATGGTTTAAAAACAGCTTAATATATTGTATTATTTATTCTATAATAATAATAATAATAATAAAAATAACAATCATCATCACCACTATTATTATTCACAACACATTAACCAATAAAAACATAATTATTACTATTATTATAAATGACCAATTAATCAATTATTATTATTATTATTATATTAAAATTAGTTTTTTTTTACTCAAAGAAACAAAAGAACACAAAGAACAATATAGAATTAATAAACTAATGAATGAATGACAAATAATAATAAATATTAAGTTTTCATTGTTCTGTAGAATTAAAAAGCAACACTGAATTGGTAAACACGCTTCTTGCTTACACCAGTGCAAATTTAATAGAGTTAAAGATTGTGTGTGTGTGGAAGTCTCTGGAAGCTCAGTGAAGTAATGACCAGCCTGAGCCGTGTGGCACGAGGGAATGGATAGATTCAATGGCCCTGGATGGACGCCAGTGCTGACCTTACAATTCTGTGTCTGAGCTGGGGCCACAAAGCCAACGCTAACACTCCGTCACGGCCCCATGAACACAGCCACATTAGTGCAGGCCAAGGCCTGTGTGTCTGAGTGTGTGTTTGTGGGGAGGCCCCACTGGATCCCAGAGGTGCACCTTTCTTTGATTTGTGCTCTTGCGTCTTTTCAATTTTCCTGTGGCCATCTGTTCAGCATGGTGCGGCCTTCTATTCATCACCCTCTAACAGGATCTCTATTAAAACACAGCTCACTTAAAAAGGCCTTGCAGAGATTTACTTAACCCCAACGCCCCACTCCATTCTGATTTGTTTCCTTAATCTGGGAGATTCGGCCATTGAGAATGCAGCCAAGGCAGAAAGCTAATCAGAGCTGCACAGGTGGGAAAAGGAGAAAGTCTCTAGTCCTTCCCTGAGTGTGTGTGTGTGTGTCATTGAATAGATCTATGTTTTGGTCTGGCCTCTAACTAGTGTGAAAAGCTCATTAACAGAGCTGGGTGTTGAAGAGGGTAATCTGGGATTGCTCAAACAAAAGGCATTGTTCAAAACTAGGTGAAAACTCTGAATCTCTACAAATCAAAACAACAAGGGCGATGTGAATAACTCTCCGGGGTTCTGGCAGCGAGTGAATGAAAGGCTGTGGAATCATTCTGTTATACTGTGAGGTCTCTTTAAGAGTTGCAAAGAAAAAGTAAACAGACAAATCATAATAGACTCAATATTTGAGCTGGTTAATACTTTAAAGGAGAACTAAAAGTATAAGCTGAGAATGGAAAAGAATGCGGTGAATTGGCTCACACACTTTGATATACACCACCCCCCCAAAGTATTTAGACACTTGGGCAACACTTATACTACCGTTGAAGGGTTTGAGGGTGAGTAAGATTTTTTTGTTTTTTAAAGGATGCATTCATTTGATTAACTGATTAAAAGTGACAGTAAATACATTTACAATGTCACAAAATATTTATATTTCAAATAAATGCTGTTCTTTGGAACTTTCTATTCATCAAAGAATCCTGAAAAAAAGTGCCACAGTTTCCACAAAAATATTAAGCAGCATAGCTGTTTTTAACACTGACAATAATAAGAAATGCTTCTTGAGCAGCAAATCAGCATATTAGAATGATTTCTGAAGGATCATGTGACACTGAAGTCTGGAGTAATGGCTGTTGAAAATTCAGCTTTGACATCACATTTAAAAATAAATTTCAATAATATTTTACAATATTACCATTTTTACTCTGTTTTTTTGATAAAATAAATGCAGCTTTAGGGAGCATTAAAAAAAAAACTTTCCAACCCCAAACTTTTGAACAGTAGCATACCATTGTATGTATGAAAGCCATTGCATTATATATCAAAAGTAGCATTTATTTCAGAGAAATACATCACAAGCACAATTTTTACTTTTCAAGCAAAGTCGGTTTTAAATCGATATCATCAATGCAGTGTTACTTTGTTAATAAAACCTAATGCATTAAATAATGTTAAAGAATTGAGCCTTATTGTACAGTGTTACTGATAACACAGACCTACTGTTCAGCAGTTGTTTTGTTACTGTATTTGGTTGTCAAAAGTTTCATGCCCATAGTTAAATGTGATGTACTACACCTATGAGAACTTGAGGGGAATGGACTTCACGCATCTACTAAAAATTAAACCAGTTTGTTAAAGTTAACAGCAAAAATGGCTCCGAAAAGGCGTTTGTTTGCAGATGCCAAGATACTTTGCAGTCTAATGCAATGAAATTCAGACATTTTTAAGAGTGGCTTAAGTGTCTAATTACTTTTAGTGTCCGCTCTAGTGTTTATCTTTTCAAGAGAAGGCAATGGTTCCTGAGACACACTGTTATTCAGACAGTTTTTCCAACAGTACACTGTCAATCATGCTGTGTAAGAGTATATATAGCCTCTGCATATTCCATCTACCAAAGCAAGGATATAGATCACTAACCACAAACAGCCCTTTCCAATCACCGTCCTTACTGTTTCAGCCCCCCCACCTCCCACTCTCCCTTCTTCCTCCCCTTCGGACCATGACAATCCACTTCACCCTAGCAATATGTCATCTCCAATCCGATTAGTATCAGCATTTGAGAAAACCACAGTCTCTCTCTCTCTGCAGAGGTTCAAAAGAGAAGGCATCTGTCAGCCCAGCCCTGAAGAAGACTCTTGTTTAATCTCACCCTCTGGGACACATATACAAGTGGGCCATGTAAAAGCCATCTAAACTGTTTCCCTGTTATCACAGCACAACCCAACAGCAGGTGCTAGTTGTCCACCAACATCGGGGTTTCTGAAAGTTGTTAGAATGAAAACAGGAAATGCAGAGTCAGTCATTTAGGACACCATGGCCTCAGATAAAAGATGGAGTCATGGCTGAATCTGGACCTCAAATTGCCTTCTAATTCCTTCTTTTATTCTCTCCCTCTTGCATGGCGGGAAGCCTCTTTCAAGAAAGCAGGATAAAGATGGGTAATCCTAAAACCTCTTTGTAATGCTCTCATGTCTCCAAGATCCACTCTTTTAATCCTGAAATACAAGTTCTGATTCATGCAAACCCAGATACATTGAGCAACAGCGTGACCGAGGAAAATACTTTGCATCAAAGTGCAAACTAGTCTTGCAGTAAATATTTTCTACTTAGTACTGGTCAGAAAATTAATTAATTTGTTCATTTTAAATCATAACTTAAGATTTTATGTTAAAACACACACACACACACACCAGCATATATGCGAACATGTATACTGTATATTTATATAAATGAAAAAAATTATGAAGGTATCTGAGCTTAAATATTTTTACATTTCAACAACATTTTTTATTCATATATATATATATATATATATATATATATATATATATATATATATATATATATTTATATTAGAATAAATAGAACCGTTATTTTCAATTGTAATATTTAACAATATTATTGTTTGTTTGTTTTTTTTTTTACTGTATTTTTGATGAAAATTAATGCAGCCTTGGTGAGCATAAGAGACTTAAAAAAAAAAAATCTTACTGACCCCAAACTTTTGAACGGTAGTGCACATACATATACGTCTATTTTTTGCCATATGGGCACAGAAGAGTCCTGGGTCACCTAGTGCAGGAGAAGGTTCAGGATGAGAGGGTAGGTTGTGACATTCACAGGATTATCCTATTAGATCAGTCTGCCTGCATTCTAAGCATCTTAATCTAAAGTACCAAACCTATAAGCAAACTAACTGTGATTAGCATTCAAGCCACTGTACAGATCTTCAGCTCAGAACACTGAGTGTGTGTGTGTGCTTGTTCCTACGTGCCACCATTAATCTCTCCATGCTTTGCTTTAGTGGGGTTAAACACTTCCTCTTCACAGAGTGTCAATTAATGCAGCTGGCGTGTCTGTTTAACAAGGAAGCTCAAAAGAGCAAGCCAAAAACAGCAAGGACACTCTGAAGAGGCCCAGCTAAGGCTGGAATACCAGAGGGAGCCGGGAATATTGACAAAAGTAACCACAGTTAATGGGAGGCCTGCCCAGGCCCCTGCCACTCCTCCAGGCATCAGCGTAGACCTTCCCCAGAGAGCCCTAAATAATCAGTGAGATTGGCAGTGCTACGCTGGACGGACACAAAGCCAGCGAAAGGTCATGGTCTCAGACCTCATCAAACAGATCTGTGGCACGCGTCTGATCCAGTAGAGAATGGATAAGTAGAGAACATACAGAGAACAGAGAATTGACTGAATCTCTAAATATTGTCAAAACATGTTCAGGTCATAATTGACCCTCATAAATAAAAAAAACATTAAAAACAAGGAAATACTATGAAGTTAAATAATTCAAATAATTCTGCTTTTCATATGCATTGTATGTTTTTTAAAATAAGAAATCCCAGCCTGAATCATTTCATTTGAAAAAAAGAAGAAGAAAGAAACGTAGTAAAAACATTTGCGTTGAACAAATCCTTTGAAATTCTTCTTCAGCCCTTTGAAAAGAATATGAAAAAGAATGTGATGGACCAGAACATCACAGCAGTCAACAGGATAATCTTGGATGAATCCTTAAATGTCAGAAATTAAACAACATAAGCAGTTTTGTAAAATGCTGGTGTGTGACTATTTCAGCAACTGCTGTAGCATGTTTGTCACAAGTCCTGATATATTTTCACCATGACCATATTTTGTAATTTCTAAAACCTGACTGATCTCTCTCTAATATCTTTCAACACTGAACATCTCTAATTTAAGGCTTGAAAAAAACAGATCTTGGATTGAAATGTTCAGTGCATCTCCCTCTAGTGGTTTGTTCTGTGAACTGACTAGGTTGATACAGATGCCATGATACAAAAGAATTCAAGTAGATATTTTATGTGTGTGTATTGAGGTGACTCACCTTAGCCAGTACATTTATGTACTTTTTGAGTGCAGTCAGATCGTTTCCACTGATGCTGATGTGTCCAGACAGCTCTACACGCAGAGAGTAATGCAGCGCTGATTCCAAATCAGACATATACACACGCGTCCTATATGAACACACACAAAAATATATGTAGGATTATAAGTGTGCACCATTTAAATCAGGCAACCTTGAAAGAGCCCACGTGATTCAGTAAACAATTTTGGTAAGACTCCAACAATAATAGATCATAATTGTACAAAACATTTTTACATTCTATAACACTTAACAAATAAAACTTTGATTGAGAAATGTTTAAATATGACTATATTTGAATATTCATAAACTACTACTGATTTGTGTAAGACGACCTAATGAAAATGTTTGCAAAATTGGAATCCTCGAACATTTCAGTGCATTTATCTTAGGTAAAAAATTGTTATATTAATTGCATTGACATACGCATTTGGCAGATGCTTATATCTAAAGCGACTTACATTACATTCAAGGTATGGTAAGGCGTTGCTATAGCGCCATGCTTTACTGTTTGAGCTACAGGAATGCACTGAATTGAAATGATGCATTAATATGTCAAATAAATCTAAATGTGAAAAGAAAATGACTGATCATGTCAGTTTGTGTGCACTAACTTGTTAAACGACCTCCATTCCTGTAGAGTTGAGTTCTTGATAAGATCAGTGATGGCAATCTGGGGTTTGCCAGTCCGCACTACCCCTGGCAACCTCTGGAGGGCGTATGAGTAAAAGGTACGAGCTTCATTGAGTCTGATGGAGGAGGAGAAAGAGGAGTGAGGGCCTCACAACCACTAAACATAATCTCAAGTATGTGACAACATGTGACAAAAAGAATGTGGAGAAGGTGTCATGTCTACCAGACTCCAGAATAGCTCAGAGTCCATGTTTATAGAGCTGCTGCTTATTGAATCAGTTCAGTTTGGGAAAGGAATTAAAAGAAGAGTTAGGGTTAAGGTTCGTGTCTGGATTAGATTAGTTAGGTTAAATATATATCTACTTTCCTACTATATAGTATGCAAATGCAGTATGTCAAATGAGCTGTATGTCAGAATGCACAGTATATAGTATGTCTGGTTTGGATTCAAACTACATGCATACTAACAGAACATAACGGGTCAAGAAATAGTTCTTTAGCAAATGCATTACATACTTTGACAGTATGTGAATTTAGACGCAGCTTTAGCGTTAGGGCTGAAAGTAAGATTTATAGACAGAAAGTGAGAGAAAACATTTCATTTGTGACCGGAGAGATTAATATATTGTCCAGGCAGATTCATCAGCTGATATTTGAGCATTTTGAGATTTGTTGTTTAGTTCATATTTTGAATTTGACAGAAACTCTCATAATAAGGAGGGCTAAAAAGGGTACCCTTGCTTGGCTGATTAACAGAAGTGTTACGTTGCCTAGTGTCAATTCAAAAATATGCTGACAGCCTTATGGATGAATTAAAAAGCCCTGGTAACATTCATAATAAATTTTTGATTTCATATTATATGAATTTTAAGTAAATATATAAAAAAACAAGATTGAAAAACAATAAACAAGTCAATGGAGTGGTACAGAAATGACAATGTTGTGCTTACAGTGTAAATGTTTATTTCATACATATAATGTTCAATTTTTCACATTTTTGAAAAGTTTATTATGCCCACTAAGGCTTCATTTATTTTATTACATTTTAAAAAACTGCTTAATTTTTGTGGATTACTTTTTTCAGGATTCTTAAAAGTCTTTACTGTCACTTTTGATCAATTTAATGCATTCTTGCTGAATAAAAGTATTACTTTCTTTCAAAAAAAAAAAATATAAATATATATCTTACTGACCTTATTTTATCAATTGGCTTTATGTCTGCCATTGTGCCAATACAGTCTCTAGATATCAGTACTGGACATTAAAATACGTATATTTGTCAACCACTATTTCACTAAGATGTGTTTTTGAGACACCAACTTGAAAAAAACTGTCACCTGACTTCCTTGAATTCTTGACACTGTAATTCAAACCTTTTTTAACAAATCTAGAAATTAATAGTATTAAAACGTTACTTTATTCCAAAAATATTAAATGCGTGTCTAGGAATGCATTGTGCTTATGGCTGCTTAAAAAAAAGTGAGCTGACTCCAGTGTCTCTCTTCTCCTGTTTTCCACGATCATCCATTTACCTTCCTTCCTCAGATGAACAGATGGTGGGTGTGGTGTGCTGATGAGATGTCATTACTGATCATTACCCTCTTCGCTAACCCTGGCAAATCAAACAATAAACACCACTGTGCATTCCTGTGTCTCCAGCACAGGGGGACACACACTCCCTCATCTACCCAAGCTTCAATCAGACCCTCAGCTTGAGGTCCCCAGGGTCTGACGGCACGCTTCTGAGACCACGAGGACCTGAGATGGTGGAGATAGTGTGTGTGTATATGTTTTTCTGCATGCTACACAAGATCAATCACGCATTCAGACCTGACGGGACGCCATCTGTTGCTCTGCAGAGCAGGGACTGCTTGGCAGGTGAAACACAGAAAAGTAGTTTCGCAACATTGTTTCGGCATCGAAAATTAAAACCACCCTCAACGCACACATGCACACCATCAAGGAGGACGGAAACAATATAAACCAACCATAAATCATTTCTCTTTTGCATTTGTCATCTAAAGGGCCCCACACCCATGCCAAGTTATTTTTCGCAAATAAGCATAACAAAGCAAGCAGACCTCTGATTTATGCTCCTGGTTAGAAATGATTATGAAAGCTCTGTGATCTTGAATAATTGCATGTATTAAAATGCTGTCTCATTAACATGGCCAGATGTTGCGTGATTCTTCCTGCAATGGCTAATGATCATAAAACTGAGAAGACGAGATCAAGCAAATGCTAAATGCTTAATTATAAGACTCTAAGAGTAAAATGCCTCGGCTCTAGCTCATGCTAATGCACTGTGAAAGAGATTAAAGGTGACCCGTGTAAATTTGATCCCTCCAATACAATTTTATGAGATTTTTTCAGCTGTTTTATCAATCACCAGGTCAAAATCTTAAGTCTCGTCAAAAATAATAGCACCCTTAAGTTTAATTCTTTAATATGATCATTTTAAGTATGAGCTTTATTAAAAGTGATAAGCATTAGCTTAAGCTTAGCATTAGTTTTCAAACATTCCAAATACTTCTCTTGTCTGTCTTATGAAAACATTCTTTATAGCTGCTGTAGGGCCGTATGAAGGAAATGGAGAACTTACACTTTGAGTCTAGAGATATGTCTGGATGAGTTGTACAGGTAACATGAAGGAAAATCGGTCACACCAAACCTGGACACCAAACTCGTCTCTGTGTCTAAAACCCTGCGCACAGCTATGTTTTCATACTGCAACAAATCCAATGTCACCTTAAAAAAAATAAATAAATAAAAAAGTGACAATGTATATCTAAAATGTAAAGTTACAAATAAACTCATCGGAATCTTTTGTTTTGTGTTCCATGAAAGGAATTCAGGCTTGGAAAAATGTGAATAATTGTGTGAATTATTCCTTTAAATCATCCTTGTGTAAACTGATCTCACCTCTCTCCCCACGTAGGAGTCTTTACTCTCAAACACAAGAGCGAGGAGCTTCACATTGTTCGTCTGAAAGAAGTTGTCTATCTCTGCCTCACTGTGGAGAGAAAAAAAGATTTGATTCAAATAAGTAAAGATAATGTAATGCAAACCATCAAAAAAAAATTTACATGGTCTGACTGTATAGTTTTCTCATTTCCTAGGGAGTTTACTAAAAGAGTCTTGAGCCTTGAACTAAAACCTACTTTAACTATGATGCAATTTTTTTTCTGAAATTAATAAAAACACTCCCACCTAAACTATTTCTTTGCTTTCTTTATTTTCTGGCTCTCACGCGGACAAAAAGCTTTTCTTAGCATTTCCTGCAATGATTTGACAGATGACAGCAAAATGGAGAAATGAGATATAAATCAAGTTTATGGTTTGTCATTTCCCTTCCCTATTTGAGCGAACTTTTGCACTGCAGCATCGACTAAAAGCAAACAAAACCAACATGCTTGCTGACCATTACATGCAAGCATTACTTACATAAAAGATAAAAAGATAAAAGATGACATCAGAACCTTTAAGATTTCAAGTGCAAATTAAAATGAAGATATGCTTTTAAATATAAGTTGAAAAGTGACTAGGATATTGTGTTCTAACCTAGCAGTCTCTAAAGGTGGACAAGCAGGCGGCCAAGCCTCGTTGTGCATCTCCAACTTATCGATAATGTAGTGCCGAAGGCCTCTCACATCCCTCGGAAATCCTATATGAACATTTAAAAAACATGCTCGTATACAGACAAAGGTAAAGTACATCACAAGTAAACATCAAAGATCTTGATTAAGTGACTAAGAATTGGAAGAAATTGAATAGTTTACCCGAAAATGACAACTTCCAGCAGAGGGGAAGTTCTTTAGGGCCAGATTTACTAAACGGCAAATTAGCACGAGATTGCAATCCCATAAAAGTGCTGATGGGAGTGAAAACTCTTCCAAATGCATATGCAATAAACTCAGCCACAAAAATTACTGCGTCCATGCCTTTTCACAATTTTTTCCACTAGTCTTTATTAAATCCTGACAGCAAAAGAGGGTTTGTGCTGGCGCAAGCTGTTAGTAAATCTGGTCCTTAATGTTAAACGACGTTTCGCACACAAACCTATCATACAACTTGTGAACAATTGGAAAATAGTGCAGAGTTCTATGGATTATATTTATGATACTCTTTTGAGGCTGTGCTACAAATAATTAACATCATCACTTTGACAGGCTGTTTTGTTCGGTCATGCTCTCTTTTAATTAGTCAGTAAAATCTTAACTGTTAGTATTTTTAATGTAACACATCACGATCATTTCTTGTGGCTTTTTCTCTTGGCTTTTCTTTTTTCTTTTGCAATCGCAGTGTGAAAGACAACTGTTGCTCCAGTCTTGCAATCAACCAATTTATTGAACAATATCCCGCAAGTTATTTGGCTTGACTACATGTGGAATCTCTCATTTCTCTCCCCAAAACATATGTCTCCCAGTCTATTTTGACTGGAATGGTTTAAAACTTTATTTTCTCCCCTTTACTTTCTTCACTTCTAATCCCCATTACTATCTTCAATTGTGGGAATGTTTCAAATTTCTTAAATGAAGCAGAATAGATGCAGATTCTTTAACAATCAAAATGTTGGAATTTATATATATAAAATATATAGAATATATGTTTTTAAATTCTGTAAATTACAGAAAATTTTAAAGGGATAGTTCACCCAAAAATTAAACATTTATGTTAATCAGCTTACCCCCAGGGCATCCAAGATGTAGGTGTCTTTGTTTCTTCAGTAGAGCACAAACAAAGATTTTTTAACACAAACCGTTGCAGTCTGTCAGTCTTATAATGGAAGTGAATGAGAATCACAGCTTTGAGTAAAAAAAAAAAAACATACACAAACAAAACCAAATTAAACCCTGCGGCTCGTGACGATACATTGATGTGTAAAGACACAAAACGATCGGTCTGTGCAAGAAACTGAACTGTATTTATATTGTTTTTTACCTCTGATTGACGCAATGTCCGAACTGTCCTGAGCGGCGGCGCATCCTCCTGAGTGCGTTCTCCACAGCAGGTGCATGAGGCGTTTTCTTCTTCTTGCTTTACGGCGGATCGCAGACATATAAGTGCATTACTGCCACTTATCCCTCAAATGGACCATTGACACTCCTAATTGAGATTGTAGCTAGAGTGTCAATGGTCCATTTGAGAGATAGGTGGCGGTAATGCACTTATAAGTCTGCGATCCGTCGTAAAGCAAGAAGAAGAAGACGGCGCGTCACGCACCAGCTGTGTCGAGGACGTGCTCAGGACAGTTCAGACATTGCAGTGCATCAGAGGTAAAAAAACAATATAAATACTGTTCAGTTTCTTGCACAGACCGATCATTTTGTCTTTACACATCAATGTATCGTCACGAGCTGCAGGGTTTAATTTGGTTTTGTTTGTGTATGCTTTTTTTTATTCTCAAAGCCGTGATTCCCATTCACTTCTATTATAAGACTGACAGACTGCAACGGTTTGTGTTAAAAATCTTCGTTTGTGTTCTACTGAAGAAGCAAAGTCACCTACATCTTGGATGCCCTGGGGGTAAGCTGATAAACATAAAATTTTAATTTTTGGGTGAACTATCCCTTTAAAAGCATCATCAACAATTCTTCGAAATTTCTCCTTTCGTGTTCCACAGAAGGAAGAAAGTCAAATGGGTTTGGAACAACATGAGCATGAATAAACAATGAGCGAAACTGTTTAATTTTGGGCAAACTATTCCTTTAAGGACACACTGGAAATAAAGAAAGACACATTTTTACCTCTGAGCTCCAGGCCCCTGGACTCATTGCTTGAATAAGCAGGGAAGAACTGAGAAAGACAGAGGAAGATCAGTAACAGTGCTACTTGAGCCCTTCACATCAGCTGCATGCCTGCAGAGCCTCATTGACAGCTTTAGTCAACAGCTCTTCCTTTTACCCCCTTAAAATTCATCAAAGCTGTGGAAGAATTTCACTCTGTCCCTTCATAAGAATGTCCACTTTATTTTACAAGACAAGAACACAAAACTAGACTAACAAAATCCACATACAAAAACACCCAAATAGTAAAGGAACATCTGGTGATGAGTTTTTCTGAAGGAAAATGATACAATAATTCAAGGATTGGCAACAGTGAGTTAAATGTTTATGAGGAGAATGGACAAACAGATTCAGTTCCATCAGTTCGTCCCTCTGGCTTCAGCATAGCCTGTACCCATAGCGCATGACTGAACAAAGAACAGTTATTCATGAATAAAATGGATTCATCTGTGTGGGAAAACCTCACAAGTCAAATTATTGCGCTCTGCAGAGGGCCTCAGTCATGAACACAAGCAGAATGAATTTCCAGGTAAATCAATTGTCACTGCAGCAACAATTTACATAAGAATGGTTTTATGAACAATGTACAGAATTTTCTCCTCATATTTCATGAACAAGACCCAATAAATGCAGTCTACCATTTTTTTAAAGGTTATTTATTCTCTTTATTTCCATTTTTTTACATTTACAAAGTTAAAGGTATCATATGATGCTGCTAAAAAGAACATTATTTTGTTTATTTGGTGGAATGAAATGTTTATGCAGTTTAAGGTTCAAAAACCACATTATTTTCTACATACTGTACATTATTGTTTCTCCTCTATGCCCCGCCTTTCTGAAACACGTCGATTTTACAAAGCTCATCGGTCTGATAAAAAAGAGGTGTGCTCTGATTGGCCAGCTATCCAGTGCGTTGTGATTGGCCGAATTCCTCAAGCATGTGACGGAAATGTTACGTCCCTTACCAAATTGTGATGCCTGCGACAACCCCATATGACGACCCCGGGCTGGACTCCGGCGATCCACAGCGTGAAGTTGAAGTATTTCCTCAGCAACCAGCACGGATCAGCTCCAGGCATGACGAAGCGATATCGCCTCTTTTGGAAGGCCAAACAAAATAGTTTCGCTTTCACAGCAAAGCACACAGCGCTTTCACGACATGGCGGCGGCGGCAACAACAATACTACAGCGAGAATAAAAGTTACACCTTCTTTCTTTGCGTGAACATTTGGGCGGCGTTATGCAAATCTTCCCACATAGTGATGTAGACATGTGGGGGCTTGTTAGAACGAGCCGTTTTGGGTAGGTGTGGCTGACTCTTAACTTTTATAAAGAATATCTCTTTGGATTTGAGACTTTACAACTGTCTTTGCAACTTTACAGATCTTCTTTATGCACCAAGAGCTTGTAACACTCCAAAGAGAAAGGAAAAATTGAAATCGCATCATATGACCCCTTTAACAGTGTTTATATTGTGTATGTTTATACTGCTGATCCCACACATAAGGTTATCCAGAAGAGAAAACTGTATTGCTCAGATGTTACTTGCATTTTCAGAGCTCAGAAGATATTTAATCTATATTAACTTTGTCTTGAATGTTTGATCTTGGTAAAATTTGTTAATGTTTTTGTAAGAAGATTCACGTGTTCACCAAAGCTTCATTTATTTGATTAAAAATATGGTAAAAAATGTATATTGTGAAATATTATTACAATTTAAAATAACGGTTTACTATTTTAATATATTTTAAAATGTAATGCATTCCAGTGATGGCAAAGTTGAATTTTCGACAGGCATTACTCCAGTCTTCAGAGTCACATGATCCTTCAGAAATCATTATAATATACTGATTTGGTGTTCAAGAAACATTTCTTATTATTATCATCAAAGTTAAAAAAAACAGTTGTGCTGCTTAGTATTTTTGTGGAAAACACTATTATTTTACAGGACTCTTTAAGTAATAGAAAGCATTTATTTCAAATACAAATCTTTTGTATAAAGAAATGTATTTACTGTCACTGATCAATTGAGTGCATCCTTGGTGAACAAAAACTAATTAATTAAGAACCCCAAACTTTTGAACAATAGTGTATATATATATATATATATATATATATATATATATATATGCTGCTTCAACACTAACTGCGGTTACTGAAACCACGCCTTCTTTCTTTGCGTGCACATTTGGGCGCATTATGCAAATATTTCCACATAGTGAGGTAGATATGTGGGGGCGTGTTAGAACGAGCCGTTTTAGGGGGGCGTGGCAGAGTCTTAACTTTGATAAAGAATATCTCTTTGGTTTTGAGACTTTAGTCTTTGCAACTTCAGGGATCTTATCTATGCACAATCAGCTTGTAACACTCCAAAGAGAAAGGAAAACTTGAAATCGCATCATATGACCCCTTTAAACTAGTTGTGTCTCAAAACCTAAATGAACTGCCTACATTTGTAAGGAACAAAATTAACTCTAAATGCACTGATGATTCCCATAAATGTTGCCCAAGTAGACAGGCAACATCAGCTCTCTATTTCACAGAGCATACTCACCTGGTAGACAGAATAAGCTGACATGGTAGGTAACTCACTAAGTCACTGTTTAGGCTTACTAGGTTGGAAGCTCACTTGGCAGGCCGTTCACTAGTTCATTTGGTGGGCAGCTTAGGTAAACATTGCTTGGTTATATGTATATGTCAATACCGTTGTACAAAGAAGGCAGCTCACCATTATGTAACCTAGTTAGCTGTCTACCAGCTTTTCTCAGTTAGCTGTGTTTCTAACTATTCATTGTCCACTAATAAAACTCATCTGTAGGTAAATTAGTCATCATTGAGGTTACTTTAAGTTTGCTGAAAACAGTTTGCACAGAATTCAATATGTTTTGCGTCAGAGTTAGGATAAAACCCCTCATAAAAATCACTTGTAACTAATGTAAATCCGCAATAAATATCTGTAAAGTATCCTTTAAACCTCGTGGAAGCTTATTGCCATTGTGTTGATTTAGTTTTGACAAAAGTGCAAGCAAATACCAACTACAATACCACAGTGCTAGTGTAGTAGCCATAACAGTAACTATATGATTTCGGATTAAACCGGTTACCATGGTAAATGATACTGTAACGGAAGTCCAGCTGTTTTGCATTGACGCTGCAGGACACAAACAGCTGATACTGTGCGACAGTATCCTGTCTTCATGATGTGTAAATATGAGGCTACTAACCTTTAATATCTCTGGCGAGGCTTTTCCAGGTGGGTGAGAAGGCAACACAGTGTCCGCACCAGGTCGCGTAAAACTCCACGAGAAGAGCCGCGGTGGAGTTAAAAAGCCCGGAGTCCACATTCTCCGGTGATAAAATAATAATCTGATCCGACGCGGTGTACAGCCCGGCTTCGGAGATTAAAGGACTAAGACTTATAAAACAAATAAAAGCACAAAGGAAAGAGTTAAATGGATTTGATTGGGTTTTTGTCGTGTAACGAGACGTGGCACAGCAGCTCCGCCGCGCCATTTTCCCTTATTTCAGGCAGCTCAAACTAAACTAACTCTATAGAAAGTGATAGAAAGTTTATAGCGACTGGTCACACGCTCAACTCCCTCCCACTTAACTCTGCTCTGTTAGTTTTCATATATAATTTCTTTTTGTTATACGAAGGTCACATTAAAACTGTCTTGGAAACTTGATGTTCAACTGTTTTTACGTTTAATTTAAATTATTGTCTTTTGTCCTCCCAGGCCCAATTTTTCAATCTTAAATCAATTATACATATTTGAATTATGTGTTCAAAACGATAATAGTCCCGACAAAGAGTGAGATAAATATAGAGCATTTTCATTTTATTATTACAAAAATATTTCTATGTGTTTATGCACCAATTAAAATCGTACCCCACACAGTTGCAGCGTCTTTTCCATAACGAGCAAAATTTTCAAAAAGTTATGAGTTATTAAACGTGGAGAAAGAAAATAAACAGAAAATCAAATGTTGGTTGTCTTATTTACAGACTGAACACAGAGGGAGACATATATTGTGTCGTATTGTATATGTTTACTTTTTTTCATTGATCAATATGTGGATGTTATACGTGTAATATCATATCATTTTTGCTGAATTATTCACCTTAGGTAATCACATTTGTTTTTAAAATTGCAACCCATTTGCTTAAAAGTCCCAGATGGATCCATTTAAAAAATATATAATAATTCCATCCATCAATATATTTTTGTTGCCACAGTACAAATAGGACATATTTGTTCTAAACTATGATATCTCTTGGTTTTCTTATTAGACTTAAGCCAGAGCAGGTTTGGTCATTCCTCTATACTGACACCTTGATCCATTCGTTCAGAATCACCCTTTGCTCAAATATTGACATATTGTGTATGTCCAAAGTTCATGTCCAATGTCTTGTCCAAAGTTTCTGACTGGGCACATTCCACCCAGGGAAACTTTAATTTAAAGGGTTAGTTCACCCAAAAATTTAAATTCTGTCATTAATTACTCACCCTCATGAGCAGCTCCGCCGCGCCATTTTCCCTTATTTCAGGCAGCTCAAACTAAACTAACTCTATAGAAAGTGATAGAAAGTTTATAGCGACTGGTCACACGCTCAACTCCCTCCCACTTAACTCTGCTCTGTTAGTTTTCATATATAATTTCTTTTTGTTATACGAAGGTCACATTAAAACTGTCTTGGAAACTTGATGTTCAACTGTTTTTACGTTTAATTTAAATTATTGTCTTTTGTCCTCCCAGGCCCAATTTTTCAATCTTAAATCAATTATACATATTTGAATTATGTGTTCAAAACGATAATAGTCCCGACAAAGAGTGAGATAAATATAGAGCATTTTCATTTTATTATTACAAAAATATTTCTATGTGTTTATGCACCAATTAAAATCGTACCCCACACAGTTGCAGCGTCTTTTCCATAACGAGCCTACAGGTTTGAAACGACATGAGGGGGGGGGAGTAATTAATGACAGAATTTTCATTTTTGGGTGAAATAACACTTTAATGTTTATACTGAGAGGGACGTTGGTTCAGGCCTGACATTTTACACAAGGCACGTGTCACAAATACAGTAAATTTTGCTGTGCCATTAGCATTAGAGGCACAAATATTTATTTATTGTGAGAACTGCTGAATGTGTTGAACCAGTATCTAACAAAATTATCATCAAATGTCTGTTTACCCCCGCTCCCGCGTCAGAGTTCTTGACTTTTTTTGATTGTATCCAACAAATAAAATCATACAATGTCATCATTTTGAGAGATTTAAATTTTTCTCCTATTCCCTCGCTTCCAAGTTTAGTCAAATAAACCTAGAATTGTACATTACGAATATTGTTGGCTCCTTGACTTATTGCGTTTGTTCCTCTTTCTGGATAAAAGCATCTGCTAAATGCATAAATGTAAATGTTATTTGACATGCAATTCACTATTATTAACAAAGCGTAATGACCCAAAACTTAATATCTAATGTCATCCTGCTTCAGTTTTGTTAAAAAAAGTGTATTTTGGTGTTTGTTTCATGCTAGAAAATGGCAAACCTGGTATTTAAACAGTATTTAGACATGCACATCTTTATCTAAGCATTTGTTGAAAAAAAGGCCCTTTTACATCATGACAAAATGTAAAAGATTTCACAACAAATGTTACGACTGAGAAATGACAAGATCTTTATTTACAATTTCCAAAGGATCAGTTCAGTTAACAAATATTTATACACATGGAAGCAAAAGGAACCACGTCCCTTTTCACAGCAATCTTCCATGAGTCCACTCACAGGAGATAGGCATGGACTCTATTTACATGGGTAAAACAATTTACAAGTCTTCAAGTGCACCTCTGTCACTCACAGTACATCATTATAAATATACATACACTTACGGGATGCGAAACATTTCTACGACCTACCAATTTAAAAGTAGAAACTGATTAACAAACCACTTGTGCCACACAAATCCTAATTTCCCGCCCACAGTTAAAAGTTTAAACACATAAGCCAAAAAGACTATTAGTAGTAGCCTATTGTCAGAACGAGGTAGAGATCTCCGTTACCTATATAATTAGACATGCTATTGGATGAGCAACTGATGCTGGGTATCAGAGACTGTTGCTGCATAGATGAAGTTTAACCCACTGACACAGCACAATGCTCTAGATCTATCCTCACAATGATGCTGCAGGTCACTATTGGACAGTCTGGCTCAGGAAGTACAGCTTTAAGAGAGGTGAGGAAGGGCTGGTTACAGCTAATTATACACATAAGACACTATGATGATAATATGTTTCTTATGAGACCAGGATTGTAATGGCGACTGATTTACAAACAAATATGTACATCACAGCATTCGAGGATAACAGACGAGATGGACGTGCTGAGCCCTTGAGCAGTTCATCTGAAAGGTACACAATGAGTAAAACCCCTCCTTTAAAAGTAAACAAACATGCCCTTGTGCCAGTGATAGCGTAACATTTCCACTCCTCTTTTCTTAAAACACAAAAATGTACTTTAAAAAGGTTCTGATGATGGGTACACACACACACACACACACACAAAGTAAGGCAGAAATGTACATCTTACAGTATTAGAGGTATGTCCAGCTATGAAGAAATAAGTTAAGAGTTAAGATTAAAGCCAAAAGGGACCGTTACGACACTGGTCAAAGGAAGGCTGGGAAAAGTCGCTTGTGCATGAGCAAACATAACAATGGAGGCACTTAAAATGAATGGGATAAAAGGCAAATGTTAAGGCTAGAACCCAGCATGTCCGTGTTTAGCACAGTTAATATTTTTCAATTCAATCTTTTGGCATCCAACAACTGTAGCAGGTGTTGCCAATACAACATTGTTTTGTATGGAGCAAAACAAAACCATTACGAGAAGTTGTCCTGTTGCTTTCAAAAAGCAGTTAAATATCATTTACATATTTTTGCATTCAACATTATCTTGCATCAAATCCCTTTACACTGTATTGCCATTTCAACATTCAAATTGTACTTATTGTGCTTAGTTCTGCAATTAATCATGTAAATGGTAAAATAATCTCTTTTCTTTAAAAACTTTCCAATGTTACTTTCAAATTCAAATGTTACTTAAATTTTTTTTTACTAGAATTAAAGAAGAAAAAAAAAAAGTATTTCTTATGATACAATCTAGTTGGAAATAAAAACAAGTCTTTGAGTCTTTAGTTCTGTCCTGATTTGATCTGACCCTTGAGTTTTAATCACAAGACTTGAGAATGGCAGAGCCAGTTTTAGCAGCGGTGATGAACAGACACAGTATGAGGAATCTGGACCCAAACAGCTGCTACAATTAACACCGGACCATCAAGAGCTGAGTTCATCAGACTTCCCGGATGAGAATGTGAACAACTCCATGACAAGTCAGACCTCTGACAAGGTGTTGTGGCCTGGAATCCTGGATCCACAACTTTCCGTGGATTGCACAAGCAGACTGAAAGAGAATTCCTCACTGAGAGTCCTTTTATGCCAAATCCTTTATTTTGTGTTTAACAGAAGGTACCTAAAACATATCTCTGTACAGGCATCATCAAAGAGTTCTTTTGGACTTCTTCTCTTGGATTTGGGTCAGAACGTCAGCAGTGTCTTTTAGCAAGGCATCAAAAATCCCATCAGCAAGCTGCATCTTTACAAAAAGTTCATCCTCATCATAGTTCACCCACTGGGATTCCTCTTCATGCAACTCCTGGACCTTGAAGTGGAAGAGTGATTATAGACATTTAAATGCCTAAGCAAGTCTATAAATCAAATAAAATGCCATTTCAGACACCAGCATTCTGAATTTGAGGTTTAATACACTTACTAGAATGTGGTCAACTCTGTCTCGCTTTTTCCGTCCAAATTTGATCATTTTCTGCCAGTCTGTTTTCTGGTTCTGCTCTTTCTTTAGACCACACAACTTCAGTACCTCAGTGGTGACAAATTCCTGAATAAAGAAAATACATAAACACAAATAAACATACTTAAATGAATAAAATATTTATGATGGTAAAACTGAATTTTCAGCAGCCATTACTTCAGTTTTCAGTGTCACATGATCAAGTCATTCCAATATACTGATTTGGTGCTCAAAAAACATTATTATCGATGTTTAAAAAATTTGTGCTGCTTAATATTTTTGTGGAAACAGTGATATTCTTTTAATTGATGGACAACATTCAAAAGAACAGCATTTGAAATAGAAATATTTTTTTTATCATCGTTAAAAGTCTTTACTGTCACTTTGCATACCTGGACTATTGTGATGTCATTGGGGCATTTCACCTGATGGAAGTAGGTGGAATTAAGGCGACGTGGCTTCATCCATTGTGGCTGATCAACTTTTGGATCTTCTGCATAGATGTCTTGAATAACTTCCCATGATAAATCAAAGATGGCCTGTAAATCAATATAACAGCAAATATTTTTATTCATCTTCTTGGAAATGTTTACAAAAACCTTGTCAAGGTTAAACAAACACCTCAACGTGAGCATCTCAATCCCTACCAGTTTGTAGCTTTGTTGGCATTGAGTCTCCAGGTCACTGGCTTTGGAGTCTCCTTCCAGAAAAATATTAGAGGGCTGAGGTTTGGATACTCCAATCAGGCTTGGTCTACCATGACCCAGTTTGCAGCTTTTCCAGATCTCCCGAGTAGCAGCGATGACCAGTTTCTCCACCTCCTGGACAGTGTGAGGAACAATGATGGCAGGCTCCTCAGGTTGCTTCATCTGCACGGGAAGTTCAGGCCTGGGTGGTGTTTTGACCTGTTCTCCCGCACTTAAACTCAAGGAGCTAGAAATCCCATCTTGCTGCTGTTGACGTTTTTGCTTCTGCTGTTGTTTTCGTGAACTGAGACCAAAGTCCTCATCAAACCAGTCCTGCTCATCACCAAGGACATCGAAGAGCTCACGGCTCAGTTCCAGCTCTGCCAGACGTTTAGCTAGCTCTTCCTGTCCACTCGTACCCAGTACAGGGCTCTCCTGTTGAAGAAGCATAGTTAACACTAATCAAGATCACCTCTTACAATTTCCCTCAAGAGAAGATCTGATTTTGAACTTTGCAACACACTGCAGGCCTAAAAAGAAGGTTCCAAGGTAACATCAGCCCTCAGATGTCTGTCAATACAGCTGGAAATGCCAATTTAAGCTTTACACATTAGCAATGTTATCAGTTTGTTGGGTAAATCATTCACTTAATTTCAATAAATAACTTTTATTGAAGACTGTTTTTTTAACTGGTTTCTCATTTATTCTATTCTATAGGATCTTTAGATAAATCAAAATCTTCAAAGTCACTTACAGGTCTGTTGCAATGCTCTGGAGATGAAAGTTCCTCCTGATCATTATCAAATGAGGAGCGGAAACTCTCGGTCTTTGTTTTAGATGAAGACCTGCTCTGAGACTTAAATTTGTTGCTTCTAAGTCCATCATCTTCATTGATGAAGTCTCTTTTCAACTGATTAGCAGCTGATAACTTCTCCTCTTTGTCTTTCTTGATCTTCTGAAATTGCTTCACCGCATCACTTAAGAAGCTTTCCACAAGTTTATCTGCTAGTGTAGTCAAAGCCCTTTTGTTATTCAAGTCTTCTCTATTATCGAGACTGGCCTCCTCGATTGAGATGTCAGTGGATTTCTGAAGAACATCAACTCTAGACTTCTCATCCTCAACCAACAGGTCCAAAATGACTGCTGTTGGTTCCTCTTCCTGCTTTTGTTTGTTAGATGTCCCTTTATCCAAATTATTGAGCAATGAACCAACATTATCATAACTGGTTTCTCATTTATTCTATTCTATAGGATCTTTAGATAAATCAAAATCTTCAAAGTCACTTACAGGTCTGTTGCAATGCTCTGGAGATGAAAGCTCCTCCTGATCATCATCAAATGAGGAGCGGAAACTCTCGGTCTTTGTTTTAGATGAAGACCTGCTCTGAGACTTAAATTTGTTGCTTCTAAGTCCATCATCTTCATTGATGAAGTCTCTTTTCAACTGATTAGCAGCTGATAACTTCTCCTCTTTGTCTTTCTTGATCTTCTGAAATTGCTTCACCGCATCACTTAAGAAGCTTTCCACAAGTTTATCTGCTAGTGTAGTCAAAGCCCTTTTGTTATTCAAGTCTTCTCTATTATCGAGACTGGCCTCCTCGATTGAGATGTCAGTGGATTTCTGAAGAACATCAACTCTAGACTTCTCATCCTCAACCAACAGGTCCAAAATGACTGCTGTTGGTTCCTCTTCCTGCTTTTGTTTGTTAGATGTCCCTTTATCCAAATTATTGAGCAATGAACCAACATTATCAACAGATGCGTCCTCGAATTTGAAAATGATGTGCCTGTCTCTGCCGTTAGGCACAGTGTGCCGACTTTTGTCACAGTCTTTAATGATATTGCAGTCAATATCATTAAAATCCAGGTTATGCTGAGATTTAATAAAGGTGCTTTGCCCAGTTGAAAGCTGTTTGATGTTGCGTTCCAATGGCTTTTCATGTTCATCCAAAGGCTTTCTGGCCTCAGGATGCAAATCTAGGTCAGATTTTTCTCCTTTCATTTTGTTTAACAGATTTCTGTGTACCAACTGTTTCTCAGAACCTTTGTTTTTACTATTTGGCTGGTCATCATATGATGAATCTTCATCTTCAGTGTCTGCACTGGCCTCAAATTTCTCTGGAAGACGAGAGATCTCGTCTGTTGAGGCGAATATACCATGTTTTTCCCTACACTCAAAGTACACCACCCCATCGTAAGTTCCATTGTTACTTCCCTCAGGGTTGTCCAGTTCAACCCCGGCCCAGAATCCATTGGCAAAGTTAGTTTGTCCCGAGAGCTTCAAACATTAACACATACAGCATATGGATAGCATTTTTTTTAATAGCCAATTAAAATACTATAGCAAAATAACACAGCAAGACAAGCGGTTTCTTTAAGAGAAACAGTACAGAAACAGGTGATGAATATGAAAGGTAATGATGGCTGACCTCCAACTGTTTCAGCAGACTCGCCTCCTGAGCTTTCAGTCGCTCTTTTTGCCTCTTCTTTTGCTCTTTCTTTAGCTGGTACACCACTGATTTGCGCTTGCGTAGCTCATCCTTAAGGGCGCGAATACGGCTCTCAATATCACTCTGATCGGATGTGGTCTCTGAGGTAAGAGCACAAAAAATATCACCATTGTCAAATCATTGTCTTTGCTAAAAAAACACTTAATATGGCATTAAACATTTTATAGTCTCTATAAAGATTAGAAGTGGAAAAGTAGAACATTTAAATATTAAAGATAGGTAATGCTTTAAACCTAAAAGAAGCACAGTTTCTTTTAGCACAGTCTCTCTTTTAGACAGATCATCTATATAAGGCAGATAGACTCATCTGTGCTCTAATAACATGGTTTAATCCAGAGAAGTGCACACACAGAGATAAACAGAGCATTATATTTTGCTGGCACAGTGTTCCTCTTCTTGCGTTCACATATCCAATTTAGTAAAGATGTAAAGGATAAACTGGAGCAGGCTAAATTAACATACCTGGTATGTAGCACTTTTAGAACTATTACTATTATTAGAAAATTAAGCAAGTAAAAAAGACCAAGGATGACATGGATTAAGAAAGCCAAATGCTACATGAAACTATTCTAAATGTTGCAGTCTTCAAAGAAAACAGGTCTACATTACATTGATAGGACAAATCCAGATAATTTCCAAAGTCTGATGGGGGTAGCAAGGATCTTACCGGATGGAGTGGCTGAATGAGGGTCACTGGTGTGGGGCTCACTGGTCTTGGAGCTGGAGCGCACCTGCATCTTGCTGCTTCCGCTGGTGCCATTGACAGTCCCAGGCTGGCTACTGTCTGAATGTCGAAGAGAGCTGAGGCTGGCTTTCTCTGGAGGAGACTGCAACACATACAGGAAGAAGGATCATGGACATGTAAATCACACTCACCAAAGAGAGCTATAATCAACCCTGTTTAATGTAACAGCACATTAACAACTTTGGACTACTTGAAAGATGCAAACAATTTTGCATATCCCTATGCTCAATATCCAATCATAGCTCTAATGACAAACATTAGATGGAGAAGCAAATACATTTTTTTAACAAAACTCCATGTCTCTCTATGTATAGGTTCAGTTTTCACCTGTTTACTGTCTGTGGCGTTAAACTCAGGTGAGTAGATAGTATCAGAGGCAGGACTGTTGCTCGGATGAGGAGAGTGGAGTTCAGAGACAGGTCGGTCTGAGGAAGGGCTGGCCAGCTGCTCTGGAACAGACAAATCAGTGTGCACACTGGACACAGACAATGCTGGGGAGCCATCATCTTCGCTGCCTGCTTCTGTGAGAACATGCATACAGATACACAAGATGTAACAGTTCAATTCATAATTGTTGCTTTGACGCTTTTTTGCACTGACTTAAAAAAAAAAAAAAAAAACTGAAAAGAGTAAACAAACAGCAGAAAACCTTTTGAGGGGCTAAAAGAGCACATTTATAAATCAATAAGCCACAAGAGGCTGTGCTGTACAGTAGTACTTGCATGATATCTTGTTTTTATACATGACTTAAGCAATATCACAAGAGCAAGAGAGCTAAACGTAATATTAATTTTAAAATTACATTTTAGACACAATTTTAATTATTATTCCTTTTTTTGTGTGTCTATTTTGGCAACGAAACAAATCCATTGCAGAACTGTTGTGCTCCATGCAACACAGCAGTGTTTCATTACTAAATAAATCAGCTGCTATGAACAAATCGTTTGAATAAATTATTCCACGACTCACTCATATAATTTGCCTCCACCTAGCCTACTGGCAGTTTTAGTTTGACATTCATATTTATTTTCATCATATTTATATATTAAAATTTTTATTTCAAAAACACTGATCTCAACAATATTTCTTCAGTTGTAACTACCTATTCAGATGCAGCTTCTGTGCTGCCTCTGCAGTGCAAATATGAATTCTGTTGTTAGTGATTTCATTTGATTGGTAACAGCTCTATATAGTGTCTTGTTATTCTAATTGCATTATTTATTGATTCAATATTAGATATTTTTCAGGCAGTAAATGTGGATCTTTCAGATGAATTTTAGGAGTGCTGGTTTGGTACTTTCAATATCACTTCCTTTCCTTCTCTGTGTTTTTCACACTCTTCACCTTGTCCTGTGGGACTCTCTTGTCCACCGTTGGTTTTATTGTGCTCACTTTCCCAGCTGCGTTGCTGCAGTGGTGTTCGGTTGCGTGGCTGCTGTTGTTTTTCCCAGGCTTCCAGAGCTTGTTTCTCCATGCGGCGCACTTCGGCCTCCTCCGCGTCCAACCGCTGCCTCCACTCAAGAAGTTCCTCTGCATGTTTGCGCCTCTGCATCAACTGCTGCTCCCTTTTAGTGAGAAACCTACAGGACAGAGAGCGAGAGAGACAAAAAGAGAGACAGAAAAGACGAGAAACAAGATTGTGTAAAGCAAAGTGACAAGATCTGGAGACAGACCACCACAAAAGCAGGCAAAGCAGACGTCCAAATTATGCCACTCACTCACAAACCTTCTTCAAACACCAGATTAGTCTCTTTTGGAAAGGATGTGCACCCACACATCCTCACACACACACACACACACTCCAAAACAGGCAAGGCTCCACTTGGAGACCTGCATTCATTTTAATGGGGAAAACAGCCCTATTGTGTCTTTAACACCCTTTTCAGGGTAAAGCTCATGCATCTGATACAGCTCATGGGTGACACATGGAGACAAACTGAAACACGCAGGTCCACCCAGGGTTTGACAGTGTTACGCTTTTGTCTCTGTAAGTGCAATCCTGCAGTGGAATTATTTGATTGTATATTTGGCTTTAGTCAGAAATATAAATAAATAAATAAATAAGGCTTTGCCAATACAAATGTATAGTTTTTACACATGATAAAGCACATTAAAGTGAAATCTGAATAAGAAGAATTTCATATTTTTTAGCAAGCTTTGCCAGTTAAAAACTTGTGCTTCACTGAAGGCAGGTCATCGTTTTTTTTTTTTTTATAAAAAAGCCCTCCATGTATCATGACTTTGGTCTGAGGGATCAAACCCGCCTGGCTTTTTCATTGAGGTTTAAGATAATTAAAAACATGTTAGATAAAAACAGATGGCTTTATCTAAAAGCAATCGTCTTGCCTCGTGAATACAGCGGCCATCTTCATCTAACCATAAATTCTATTATGTTGCCTCAGTCATATATACTCATTAGCTCATCGCGGGCTACACTTATTTAATCAGGGCCTGGAGTTAAGATTTACTGTGGCCATTGGGCAGATGAAGAAGTCCTAAACTAGCATTATTCAGAAGCATCCAATATATCAGTCTGCCCGGCCTGTCTGAAAAGAGATATTCCTCCCGGTCTCCACTCACCACGATACCAAGTTCAAGAACTGGCATTTATTTAACTAATTTAATGGAGACACTTTGTGTGTGGTGCATGGTTGAAGCTCACGAAAGTTGTTGAGGTTGTATTTCACCACAAATCAGAAAAAAAACTATATTTTGCAAAAAGGCAATAAACCCTAAATTTAAGATCATCAAGATGATTTGCATTGTGATTTTCATGACAATTAAGTTACTAAATAATTCAACCCCCCTTATTTCTGTAATGCAAACATTTTTTATATTTTTTTATTTTATAGTAATGAGAATGTACTGACACTCAAAACTATATAATAAACATGACAATAAACAACTGAAAAAGAAATGAGGTAAAAAAATAATAATCTTGAAGCATTACAGGAATGAACATTTAGGAGGGCATACATTTTCTTAACGGTCATGAAGATAATGATGCAAAAGTTGATGGTCATAAAAACAGGCTTCAAATTTGCAAAATAGAGTTTTATTTTTTCCCTTTTGAATTTAATGTAAAATATAGACATGTTTTTGTTAGATTCACCATATATAAATTACATTTACATATTAATACAAGACAGATTAGCAATAAGGCAAAGGCTGGATTTGACAGGATCACACCACAGAGACAAAAGAAATAAGACCCAGAAATCACTCATTTAACCCACCATGATTTAAACAAGTCAAATCTTTGGCTTTGAGATTGATGGTAATCATTTTCAAAACATTTGCCTGTATTTGATCAGCAAATCAAGTCTCAAAAACCAATCGCAAAGGATTTTGATAAATCATTTAATCATTAGAAATTAAAATAATCTTCCCCAGTCAGATAAATAACTATGCTTAATATTAAACTAGCTTTAGCCAAAGAATCTGCTTATTTCAGCATGGTATAGTCAGTTCATTTTCATCCATTCATTCATCACTGCATTCCTCTTTCTGTTTTTATCCCCACTAAACACTCCCCCACCCACCCAGCTGTGGCAGTGGATGAACAAAAGCATGCTCCATGGGAAATAGGTGCTGAGAGAGGGGAGGAGGGAGGGATGGGAAGAGAGAGGAAGATTGTGGGTAACTGTACCTGACCAACTGGCTGTAGATAAAGAACTGGAATTTGGGGTTGAGTTTTGGGAGACAGACAGACAGAGAGGCCCAGTGATGAGCCGTAAAGACAGAGAAGAAATAATGGACAGGAGAACAGTGTCTAAGGAAGAAAGAGAGGAGAGGACAGTCAAAAATCAAGAAGAACAGAGTTGGAGAGAATGAAACAATAAAAGAGAAGAGAGAGAGAGACATAAGAAACACACAGATATGGAGACAGAAAAAGAGATTGAGTGTAAATATGTTTCTCCTTACTTTTCTCTAACTACTGTGCAACAAACACATCAGTTATTGACTTTTAGCGGTTAACTACATGCTGCAAATCCTTAACAAGCCACTACTGTGTCACAAACAAGTAAAAAAAAAAAATCCTTTACGAGTAAGATGAAAGGTCTCTGTAATTACAAGCTTGCCTGGAAACATTTATCTGCTCCAAAACAGCAGTCTGGAGAGTCTCACAAAATTATCAGAAACACCCGTCATATTTCAGTCTTACCAAAATTAAAACGACCGTTTTAAACATTAAAGTAAAGTTCAATTCTAAGTAGCTTAAGTGAATAAAATAAAAAAAGCATAAAAAATAATAAAAAGCAAAACTTTTAAACAATTATTAACAAGTACATTTGTGACGAACACATGTGAATATCCATAAAGGTAGTATGAATTCATTTATGGTGATTTTGAATTTTTGAGAAATACACAACCGTTTATGCTATAGATCTATGCCCCAGACATTTCTTTGTAAAATTAACAAGTTGTTTTTCTATGCAGGCATGTTTGAGTGACTAATTCTGCTAATTTTGCTGTGATAAAAGTAAATACATTAATTTATTAAATTAACTAAATAAAGGGAAGATGACAAAAATGCAAATAATAATTATATTTGCTTTTACAAAAAGAGCTGCCTAGACTGGATTACATATCACTTTGAATGAGATGCAGGATAAAGTGTTTACACGGATGAGTACTGAATAAATACAGCTGGAAGTTATACAAAAGAGATCATCATGCTATTAGTGAGAGCTAGAAAGTGAGCAGAAGAGTGCGAACGGGTGCTACAATCGCAACACAGCATGTGATTAGTTAAATCAGACAAGCGTGAAATCCCTTCCCTCTGTGTACCAATTTTATTCTCAGGACAAAAATATTTGTGTCAGTGCTATGAAAAGTTTCTGAACAACGGGACGACCCTCACCAGTTGTCAAGATATGACTGTAAACAAGAACTTGTTGTCAAGGATTGAGAGGCTGAATATGGGAGAATGAGATCACACACAATGGACAAAGCATTTAGAAAAAATGTGGAGGTTATGAAATGCATTAGAGAAATCTTGTGACCTGCATATTGTTTCAGAAATCTGGCTAGCAGAATGTACATCCTGTTTACTAATGGCATAAAGAAGCTGCTCTCTATTTTAGATGTGAAAGATTCCTCCATTCATTAAGGGAGAGGGGTGTTTTCCTACACAGAGCACGCTTATGTTCAAACCCTGTGCACACAGAAATAAACAAACACTTAAAAATGTCACATAGTCAGCAAGCTGTAGACGAACCTCGAAGAAATTAATACATGTTATTAGTAGCATTAGCCAAGTCATAAATAAGAAATCACCCCTGAGTACAAAAAAAAACATTCATTGTCTGTTTGGCCTTCTTGAAAGAGGTTTGCACTAGATAACGTATGCATAAGGTTCATTCAAGTTTGGTTAATATAATCAAATGCACAAAAAGATTTTCTGCATTATTTGAGAGGACAGAAGAGGAAAAAGATGGATGGATAGAAAAGAAACATGCGTGAGGGTTTATTTACTTTTCGTCCATGTGAGAGCGCATCTTTTTCAGTTTCTGCATGATGCTGCTGGTTTCACTGCCCGACACAGAAATGGGGGAGGAACTACGGGTCTCTGCGTCTGTCACAATCCCACTGGGCGGAGCAGACTCCTCTGCCACACCTGATACGGGTGACTCCTGCAGATGTTTCATAAAAATAAAATAAAAAGTGTGATATGTTCAATAAACTACATATAGTACTTAAAAAACAAAAAATATATATTTTATTTAGGAAAATTTTAAAACACAATCAAAGGACTGACCAGCTTTGTGTCGGCACTCTTGAGCCTCTCTTTGAGTCTGAGTGTTGTGTGTCGCATTCTTTCGATCTCCTCCTGCTGTTTGAGGAGCAGCTGTCTCTCTCTCCTCGCTGCTTTATTGGCCTCCTGCAGTCGTTTGATCTCCGCCTGGGGATAAACAACCCAGCAACATTTTAGCTGTTATTTCTGTTCTGTAAACATGACAACATTTAAGCAATTCAATAATGACTATTTAATTTATTATACATTAATTTGCAAGTGTAGCTCAGACATCATCTCAACTGTCAGCTGATTGAAGGAATAGGCAGGAAGTAGTCAAAACTACTCACATTTCTCAAGACAGACTATTTAAGTTGCTTGTCCACAAAAATGTGAGCTTTACCTTTCTCTTCAAGCGGGCTGCGCACAATGTCCGAGCAAAGGGAGTCATCGGCAGCGGTGTGAGCCTGGTCCTCCACTGAACTACTGCTCCTGTCTTTTCCTGCTGTCTTCCTCTCCTTTTGATCAGAACGAGGTGGACTTAGCTGGGTACTACTGCTGTCACCACCACTTAAAAACAGAGAGACAGAAATTAGCGTTTTACTGACTGTATGTTCTATAAAACCATTCATTTGGGCTGTAAAAGAAAAATCAGCTCAAATGTGTACAGTGTGTTACCTGATGGTGGGTCTCCTGGAAAGGAAGGACTCTGAGAGGCTGTCTGGTGGCGTCTCGACCTCTGATGGACTCTTATGTCTCTCAGGAGACAGCTCACTCTTCCAGCTACTGGAGAAGATCCAAAACAGAATCAGTACTGATGTATAGATCGCAATCACTAATATGACAAAAAATCTTTCTATGAAAAAATCTTTCACTTTAGAAAATGCAAAGTGAAAGCATGGTTAAAAGGATAGTTCACTCAAAAATGAAAATACCATAATGATTTACTCATCTCCATGTTGTTCCAAATCCCCTGCCGTGGCTATCATTTCTCATCTGCACTTTTGCATATTCAAACTTTCACATAAGATCCAAGGTTTGGAACGAAATAATGACAGATTTTCATTTCCCAATTAATTATTCCTTTAATGCAGAACATTATCTGGCTTCTATGCCCAAGTGACGCTGAAGCATGGTACAGGAAGATGAATCAGAATAGTGAATGGCCATATCTGAGGTGAGAGAGTTACCTGTCCGTGTGGGGGAGTGGCTGCTGCTGTTTCAAACCGTGGGTGTGCTGTTTCTGTTGATCATACAGGGTCGTAATGGAGGGGCCAGGAACACTTAGCGCTCCTGCAATCTGTGAATGAGCCAGCTCAGTCATCTATAGAGAGAGAGAAAGAGAGAGACAGTTAAATACACTTTTAATCCTTCAAGCTCACTTTAAAGAAAGAGCTGCAGTGCCTTGAGGGAGGATACTTTACACTCCGAGAAGATAAGCATGTAATCTTGTTTCTAAACATTTGTGCTTGTTGTAGGGGTTTTTCAAGCATCCAATTAAATACCCAAGAGTTTGTGTATAAGATATTAAGTAGGCATTTCTTCATTCATTTTAATTTAGCGAGTCAAGATTAAATTACAAAGATAAGTCCAAATACTGTAAAAAGACTCTACACACAAGACATAATAATGTCAACTGTGATCCACCAATAGAAATAAATTAATAGAATTTCTATCCAGTATTATTTATATACTATTAGAGCATTTATTAATATTTTGAATTAGCTTTTAGCTTTTATTTAAAAGCCTCAGCTGCCATTATAATTTTTGTAAATTTATTTTATGTGCCTGTTTTTTTTTTATGTATTTCATTTACTTATTTATTTAACTGTTTAGGTTTTAGCTCCGCTTTTAGTTCAAGTTCATTTAACATTTCTAATGATAAAAAAGTATTTCATTTTATACTTGTATTTTATTTGGGCTTTATTTCAATTAACAAAATAGTTTTAAATAGGTTTAGTTTATTTAAGAATAACCCTTCTATGTGTTCTGTCCTGTTTATGCTTCTTAAATTATAATTATTGGTAATCATATTTAGAAATAAAATGAGATTTTCAGTGACTCAATCCAGAATTATTTGGGGGAAACAAGCTCACCTGTTTAATGTGTCGTGCTGTTTCAGCTGTGTGGTGTGCAGCCTCAGTCTGCTGGTTTATCATCTTGTTTGTGGCCTCATGCAAACCTCCTAATGCCTGCTGTTGAGACTGGAGCAAACTCTCTTGCAGCTCTGCATGGGTCTTGAATCCAACACAAGCATCCGTTTATTAAAAACATGCAAATCATTTAACTAAAGCTGCCATTTTTAACTTGGTCTGAATCAGAATTTGATTTCATTGTCCTTTCATTATTGTTCAGGGGTAGCCAACGTCGGTCCTGGAGAGTTTTTCTCCAACCCATATGCCTTGTAGCTTTCTCTGCATGAAACTCTGCAGGACTGTAGCTCTCCAGGACCAAAGTTGGCCAGCCCTATTGTAGATCTATTTATACATGCAAACTTGTGCAGTACTGTTTAAATAAAACATACCAGAATAGCAGTATACCAGAAAGCACCTAATGATGTTATCATACAAAAAGCTTTTAAACTAAAAAATAAACTATTAACAAAGTGGTGCAAATACCCGTGCAGCTTTCTGTCTGCTTTCTTCCAGTTGCCGTTGTGTTTCGAGGGCTTCTTGCTCTGCCTTCATCCTTAGCAAATACAGTTCACGCTCATGCCTCTGTTGCTGAGACTGCAAGAGACAAAGGTTAAAGTTCACCCTCAAATACATGACCACAGGAGGTAAGATAATTGCTTTAGCAGGTGCATAACTTCACCTTGAGAATCTGAGCGAGCGAGACTGTTTCCTGCTGAGCGAGAGACACGCCTCTCACTCGCTCCACATCACTGAGCTGTCGCACTGACTCCTCCACTGCGTCCAGGTAACTGAGCTCAGCAGACAGACGCTGCTGGAGGACCCCAGGAGCAAACTGGAGCTCCGCTGAGCCTGGGGACACACAGAAGAGTAAGTAAACTAATTCCATCCCTGAACTGAAATTCTTTATTTTTATAGAAGACTTCTTTAGAATTTCAGTTAGACAAAAATCTAGACAAAGCAGGTTTACCTGCAGTCCTGTGCTCTGATCTTCCTGGGCTTTGAGTATGGGGTGAGGGGTTGGATTTAGCCCTAGCAGCTGAAGAGGAGGAGGAGGAGGAACTGGGCAGAGCTGTGCGAGGGGAGCCCGATCCTTGGGTGGACCCTCTGATTGAGATATTGTCACCTGGAGACAACCGGGAAGAACCAGAGCTGGCTGGAGAACCAGCGGCAGGAGTTGTACGAGGGCTTCGGGGAGATTTCTTTCCCTCAGAGCCAAAATAACTAATGAAAGAAAACAGAGAGATAAAAATAATTAATAACAACAACAACTAATAATGAAAATAATAACAATAAAAAAAAACATTTTAATAATTATATTTCTTTGTTTTTGTATTGTTGCATTTTTGTTATTCTTATATTTTTGATTCAATAAACAAACCAACTTCACAGAGATTACTTAAAACAAGACTTTTTAATTAAAAATTAATCCAAAAGGTAAACAAATGGTACAAGCTTACAGGTTTAGGTGAATTGTGCACACCACTATACTGTGACCACCAAAACCCCCAATAGTCCGGTCTCTCTTTGACAATGTCCAGCTACAGTAGCACAAAGACCTTATTGTAGAGACGTGCACTGGTGATCGGAGAATGCCTTAAATTTATGTTAAACTCACTGCTGCCAGATAAACGAATCCAGAGATCACATCTCTGGAAGATACAGCTCTCTAAACGCTGAAAACACAGTTAGGCATGAGGGGAATCTGACTCACAGGCTTCAACAAATGCCACAGGGAGGTTCGAATGTCACAATAGGGGGAAATATCTCATTGGCAATGAGCCTGACCTGCAGCATGGCTAACCTACTGAACAAAAGAGCCAGTGTGTACGTGCACATTGCCTCCCGCCTCACTTTCTGAAGGGATACAGCAGGCAGAACACTTGTACCCTCCACCTGACATATAGCAGAACTAATATTGACACTGGCTCCTCTGGGTTCTAATAATTATGATAAACAGGAACAGCATGGATATTGCATTTAAAGATATGTCTGGTCTATGCTCCAGACCGTACCTATGAATGGAGTGGACTGAGGCACCCCCGAGTGTACTGTCTGTGTCCAAGCTCCTGTGAGAGCTGCGACTGGATGCTTTGTCTGAGCCACTCTTCTTAAAACTCTCAGCAGGGAGATCAGAGACTGCAGAGGACGTGTTTCTTTGTCCCTCCAGCAGGCTCCTTTCTGAAGCTGTAGGAATGTACACAGAGATAACATTAGGAATGATACAAAAATGTCAGGGTTCAAAACCAAAATCAGTGAAATTGTTGATACTACAAAAATACTGATTTTTAAGTACCAGTACAGCTGATATATCCCTATAGGAATGCACACAGAGCACAGAAACAGATTTTACACTGTACCACAGTCAAGATCACATGATGCGGCCCTCTATAATATATCTGACCTCTCTTGCTGCTTGAGCTGGCTGAGTGTGGAGAGGAGAGAGGTGTGAGAGCTGGTGAATGTTGAGATCTCTCCCCAGCTCTGTTACTGTATGCAAATCTGCCACTTAGTACCTCGTCTGAAGGACTGAACCGACAGTGGCCATTACTGTGGAGAGAAGGCATCAGAGTTTACATTAATCTTATAATGTGGTATATTGTCCACATCTCTGTGTATATGATTCTACATAGAGCACATGAAATGGGAGGGGTGGTATGATGGAGTAACACTGCCCTCTTCAGGCTGATTACTAGAAAGTTTGTGTTAAAGGAGTGATATGATGCAATTTTGTACTTTTCCTTTTCTTTAGTGTGTTATGTAGCTATTTTTGCATGTATAAGATCTGCAGAGTTACAAAGCTCAAAGTCTCCCACAAAAGGATTTATTCTATCTAAAAGAGAAGGCTGATCCAGACCAGGCTAAAACGCCTTATTGAAACACACCCCCACATCTCTATGTCACGATGTGGAAATATTTGCGTAATGCCGCCAAAATGTTCATGCAAAGAAAGAAGGCGTGGTATCAGGAATCGCAGTAGTGTTGATGCAGCCATGTCAGGGAGACGCTGTGTGTTTCTGTGCGAAAGCAAAAGCACTTTATTTGGCCTTCCGAAAGTAGATGCAATGAGGAATCATTGGTTAAGATTTATTTACAACAGAACAGCACAACACAGATTTTCGAATTTGTGCAATGCATTTTATGGACGACAGTTTTGTGAACCTAGGAGAGTAGCCTACAAGGCTGGCTGTGCAAAGGCTATTTCTAAAAAAAAAAGAGGGTAAATTCCGACTTTGCTATGAAAATCTGGCGCTTATTCTGAATCAGCTACTGTAAGTATGTTTTCTTAATAGTTTAAGTAATTGCTATTGACTGTTCAAATGCGGAGTTTTGCGCCGTGTAGAGTATCGCGTTGTGTGCGTGCGTGAGAGAGAGACAGGGTCACATCACAGTGGAGTCCGCTTTCTTAATCGCAGCTTGTGTACCGCAAATACATACGAGCGAGCATCATCACTGTGTCGGTCACGCGACTCTGTTCCCCTTTTGGGCTTGAACTGATGGTAAAACTAAGGACATTATGTACTGTCTTTACATTTATGTTGAAAGCTGAAGCTCGCGATTATGGAAAGGGGCGTTACATTTCCGACGAGTGCTTGTGGTGTTCGGCCAATCACAATGCACTAGGTCAGCTGGCCAATCAGAGCAGACTGTGCTTGTCGGATGGAGGGGCTTTGTAGAAAATGACCCCTTTGAGAGAGGCGGGGCATAGAGGAACTACAATAATGTACAGTATTTGAAAAATAATGTTTTTTGCACATTAAAGCATGTCAACATACTCTGTTACACCAAATACACAAAATGATCTTTAAAATAGCATCATATGACCCCTTTAACTTCACCCTGTTCTCCATTTATAAAAATATTTTAAATAAACAAGGTATATCTATTGAGCATTAAAACTATTTTGCTTTACCTGAGCCCATTGGGACTTCTCTTGGATGCTGATTGGCTACTGGCATGTGAGGAAACAAAGTCTTCCTCATAGACCATTCCATCCAATGAGCTGGCACCAGACAGAACAGTGCGGAGAGCCGGAGAACTCTTACCGCCCCTCTCTTCAAACGCTACAAAAACAAATGTGTTCAATGAAAATCTAAACTTCTGTTCAAATGTTTGGGGTCAGTAAAATGTGTTTTTTTTAAAGAAAATAATATTTGTAAATATCAAGTTAATCAACGTGGCAGTAGAGATATGTATAATGTTACAAAAGTTTTCTATTTCAAATAAATGCAGTTCATTTGGAAAAAAATAAAATAAATAAATCCCACAACAATATTAAGGAGCACTGATAATAATTTATGTACAACACTTATAATGAAAACTGATTCTTGTGAATCAAAACAGCATGTTATAATTATTTCTGAAGGATCATTTAAAACTGAAGACTGGAGTAATGGTAGCTGAAAATTCAGCTTTACCATCACAAAAATAATCATATTTTTTATATATATTAAAAAAAGAATGCAGTAATAAATTGCAATAATATTCCTCAATATTACTGTTTTTATGGTATTTTCATTAAATAAATGCAGCCTTTGTGAGCATAAGAGACATACTGACCCCAAACTTTTAAAGGCAGTGTACATCTGTTTTATATTAAATACATAAAGTGATAGTCTTGAACATCAGTTAGAATGAGCGGAAAATTATAAACACATCTAAGAAGTTTACACACAAAAAACAATATATATATATATATATATATATATAGTTTTTTTTTTTAACAAAAACAATTTTCTAAACTATCCTTTAGAAAACAATATTATTATTCCTATTTTTATATATTATTAAATGTGGTTAGAAATTGTCTAATATATTAAAACATTGAAATATTATGGTTTTGATACAAAATATGTACAGAAAATTCTTATTTGGCCCTGCTCTAGTACACAGTTAAATAACAGGTCAAATATGCTTTTGAAGTTCTCACCTTTACTGTAACTCATGTTCTTTGTAAATATATTGATAACACTGTGTGGACTTCCCTTGGCCAGTTCTTCCCACGCTCCATTGCTTCCTCCTTGTACCAGACTTGACACATTAAAGGGCAGGTGCTTCTCTGCCTCTTTCTGAAAGCGTGAAATTGGGTTCAAACTGTCTCCATTCAGATGTGCACTATATCCTGTGGTTTCCAGTCTGGATTTGGGCAGCTCTTGCAGGTCTTCGTCAGATATACTTCCCTCACTCAGCAAAGGACCCTCGCTGATTGAACCTCCGCTGGAGTCCAGCTCAACTTCCTGAACAACGGGCTTTGGAGGAGAAGGGGTCTTGCATGTGTTTCTAGAAGTGTGGCCAGAAGGCATGAGTGTTTGTTTGTTCCCAGTCTCCATCCTCTCCCTAATGCTGTGAAGGTTGCCTACACCTGGAAGGGCCTGATCATAGGTGCTCTGACCCTCAGCAAGCAGTTTTTCAATCCTCTCAACCAGGTCATCAGAATCTGTTGGATTCTCTCTGACTGGCGGACTGACAGGTTTAGCCCAGCGGTCATCGTTAGGGATTAAAAGACCCATGCCTGTATCCCTGGCACAACCGTAGTTTATTCCGGCACCGGCTATCTTACGTGCCTCGCTCTCAATACGGCTGGAGAGAGAGGCAGCTGTGGCCTTAAGAGCCTCAATACGGCTCATTTTGTGGCCTGTGGTTGAGGGGAATGCCGCATGTGCAGTTCGGAACTCTCTGTTAGGTAGTGAAGGTTCTGGATCAAGTTCTAACAGCTGAGAGAAGATATGGCCAGAAGGGGGCACTAGGGAGCTGCTGACCCTCAGAGCAGGACTACGCTGGTCAGATGGGAGCCAGGGTGACCCTGCAAATCCCAACCCATTCCTATAGAAAAAAAATACAAGACAACAGATTATTTAAGTATAATGACCATATGACCTAAAAACAAAAATGACTGCCACTAACATACACACAAAACAACATTACTTTACACATGAAAATGTATAGTAAATATTTTAAGTCGAGTCACATATAGCAAAAAATCATGCAATCTGAAGTCAGTTTTAATACATTTTTAGGAAGATCCCAGTGTTAACAACCTCAATATGCAGAAGGCGCTGCCAACTACATGCACTTAAAGGTGGCCATGAAAACCTATACAGGCTAGCAACAAACACTTCTTGCCAAGCACTGAGCTGACGGATTAATCTGTTCTTACAAAACTACTTGAAATAAGAGCATGTCATCTGTGTAAGGAAATACAAATGACTTCCCATTTACGGAAAGGGGATATTTTGTTAATCTTTTTAGTGCTTAGAACAGATAAACATTAAAAGGAAGCTCTTTGGTGCAAACAACACCTACCCTACTAACAGCTTCCTTTTGAATGGTTTTTCTAGTTGGAAAGCCAAACATTACACTTATGACACAGATGGTGTAATGAAATGGGACTATGTGTGTGTTTTACCTGGAGAAAGGAGGCTGACATTGCTCTGTAAGAGACAGATCACTGCTGGAGGTAGCACTTTGTGGTCGATCATGTCTTTTGTTTTCTTTATCAGACTCTCCAGATGGCTGGTATACTGGTCTCGGCTGCAGTGTAACAACAAAAACACTTAAAATAGTAGTCGATCATTATGGATTTTGTCTAGACACCAGGGTGTCTAGTAGTTAATATATAATATATTGATATTTATTATATAATGCAGTTATAAAAGATTTTAATTTTTATGCTCACCAAGGCTGCATTTATTTGTTACAAAATACAGTTAAAATAGTAATATTGTGAAATATCATCACAATTCAAGTTAACCGTTTACTATTCTAATACAATTTAAAATGGAATTTATTATTTTGATGGCAAACTGAATTTTCAGTTTTACAGTTTTCAGTGTGACATGATCCTTCAGAAGTCATTCTAATATGATACATTTATTATTATTGAAGTTGAAAACAGTTGCTTAATATTTTTGTGGAAACTGTGAAGCATTTTTAGGATTCTTTGATGTATAGAAAGTTTAAAAAATCAGCATTTATTTGAAATAGAAATCTTTTGTAACATTATAAATGTCTTTACTGTCACTTTGGATCAATTTAATGCATCCTTGCTGAATAAGTGTTGATTCACTCATTCATTAAAAAAAAACTTACGGATGACAATCTTTTGAAAGGTAGTGTACCTTAAAAATGCATCAATTTAATATAATTATTTTAACTGATTAATATTACAAATATATTTACTCAAAATCCATTCAAAATATAGACAATGCATCCATTCAAAAATGCATTGTCTATATAACAATACAATAAAATATAATAGTTGTAATATCTTAAATAATAAAAAAAAAGTTCAACTGCAAAAATTCTGTACAATAAAGATTTACCTGCTGGACTATGTTAGTTATGGCACCACCATTGATCTCTTCTCTGAGCTGAGTCTGTTCCAGCAGAAGTTTGGTGTATGTTTCCTGGAGCCGCTTCTTTATTGGACCTTCAGGTGCGACTGGGCCCTTGGTGGCCCCTGTTCGTTGTCTCCTGTAAAGTTCCTGTAGGCGTTTATTTTTATTCTCTTCCTCCTCCCTCTGAGCCCTCCTCTCCTCTGCTTGCTGTTTTTTCCTTTCTTCTTGTTTTTGAGCAATATACAGTCGCACCGCTTCTGCGTCATAGTGCCGTTTCTTTGCCACAGGATGCTCAGGAGGATCTGCTCTCTTGGTAGTCTTGGCAGGGCTGGCACTACGAGAAACTCTGGTTGAAGCATGGACTTTCGAGCAGGGTGCTTCTGGCCTCCTGCTGCTGTCCTCCTCCAACTGCAGATCATCTAGGATGCCACGGATATCAGCCGAGAGAAGGTCTGTGCTGGGAGATTTTCTTCTATCACTACCCGTTGATCTGGAAGGTCCAGCTGGCTCTTCTGAAAGAACGTGACTGTGAGGTCTTTCTGCACTGGTGGTCCTTGAACGCCAGCTACGCTCAAGACGAGGATCAGAGCTGGAACGGGGACCAGATCCTGCAGGAAAAGACACAGAGTCAAACAGGAGAATAAAATTTATATGATTTGACACTTTGTTTTGCAAATATTTGAATAATCCAAAAATGTTTTAATAAATATGGTATTTATGAATTCCCACAATATATATACTTAAAGTATATAAATAAATACATACATACAAACACACATACATACATATACACCACAGGCTTTGTATTTATATGTCTGAACTGGAAAAACATCGTCTTCAGCGTTTGCTTGCATATAATGTTTAAATCAATACAGCTTTGAGCATTTCCGTCTCTGCAGCCCAATAAATCAGTATTGGAGTGGCTGAATAAAGTCTGGCTCCAGCCCTGTGTGTGTGTGGTAGGCAGCAGGACTGTGGAAGGAATCAGGTCGGCTTGTGCAGTGAGTCAGAAACACCCAGTTGAACCCTATTCATTCCGGTCACTGGGCAGCAAAGTTTACCAATGCAGGGAGGGTGTCTGAATCTTTATTTATTAATAGACCTGACACTTGGGCTACTAGCTTCTGGAACACTAGCACTTTGCAATAAATGCAGTATTTAATAACAGTTGGCATTAAACTAATTTAAAACTCAAGGAGATCATTTGGTTGGGCATTCAAAATATGAGAAGCCAAAAACCAAATAGCTTGTGACATTTAAGGCTAAACGAACATAGATACTTTAATTTTTCTTTGTGGTTTGACTGAGCTCTAAACTGTCGGCATGGTGATGGGAGCGGAGCCTGGCAGATACAGTATATTATCCTCTCACCTGTTCTCATCTGTGTCTCTGAGGACTGCGCCCGAGACTCTCTGTGTAACCGTGGCGGCGGCCCCAGCATCATCTTCACCAGCTTCTGCCCATCTCGCCACGATGATGTGCTGATTGCTATGGAGACAGGTTATGCAGATTCCTTGAGACTACAGATGGTCCACAATTAATTTGTACTTTTTTTAAACAAGTATAATTAAGGCAGAGAGGAAAGTATGACAAAATTATCTAATAATAAAGAGACAAAATAGCTGCGCAGAATCACATTCACACAGATGTTTAATTAAACCAAACCTCCTGGTAAAAATTATATTTCTCCAGAGAATAGTGGTGATAAAGTTACCTTCAAATTAGGGGTGTGCGATATCAAGATTTTCGGAATAAGACAAAAACGCGGTTTGGAAGATGAATTCATGATGTACTCGCTCATTATATACATTTAGCAAATTTTGAACACAGAAAAAGTTACATAGTGCTGCTTTAAAGCCTTGCTGGTTAAACATTTAATTCGTGTGCTGCTCTGACATGCGCTTTTTCTGAGCGTGTACACCTGAAGCGCACGCACACTAAAAAGCCTGTCATAGAGCGCCTGATTACTGGACGGAGTTATCTTTTGCGTCTGATTGTGCTAATACTCTCAAAAACACACAAGGTTTACATATAAACACAGTTGGTTATGTCTAAAATGAAAGTAAACAGTTGGATGCGTGCCTGTATATTAGATGCGTGCAGCTCTTAAAAGGTACAGCAGACTTATTGTACTAAACATGCTGCCGCTTGTCATTAAAGGAATAGTTCACCCAAAAATTTAAATTCTGTTATTATTCACTCTCTCGTTGTACCAAACCTGTATCAATTTCTTTCTTGTGCTGAACACAAAAGAAGATATTTTGAAGAATGTGGGTAACCAAATCATTGCTGTTTGGATACCCACATTCTTCAAAGTAACTTTTATGTTCAAAAGAAGAGCGAAACTCACTGAGGTTTAAAACAACTTGAGAGTGAGTAAATGATGACACAATTTTCATTTTTGGGTGAACTATCCCTTTAATGTTAATAAAACAACAAAACACAGAGAAAAATAACTCACTGCTCTTGACTGAAGCACTTTAATACAGTTGCTTTTATAAGAATCAATGTATAATTTAAACAGTTAAATGTACAGTGGGTACGGAAAGTATTCAGACCCCCTTAAATTTTTCACTCTTTGTTATATTGCAGCCATTTGCTAAAATCATTTAAGTTAATTTTTTTTCCTCATTAATGTACACACAGCACCCCATATTGACAGAAAAACACAGAATTGTTGACATTTATGCAGATTTATTAAAAAAGAAAATCTGAAATATCACATGGTCCTAAGTATTCAGACCCTTTGCTCAGTATTTAGTAGAAACACCCTTTTGATCTAATACAGCCATGAGTCTTTTGGGGAAAGATGCAACAAAATCTTCTTCTTTGTTCTTATTTTTTAATAACAAAGATAAAATAATGACAGATTTTTATCTTCACCCACTTTGGCCTAAATGTCCGCCATTCTTTTTTTATTTTATGATATTTTTGCCATATTGCCCACCCCTACTTCAAATGTCTGTACCAATAAACCAGATTATCTAATAACCTCTTATAAACATAACAGTAGTTTTACTGGTCCACTTGCTCAGCAAGATTCACCTAAAAATGTTGATCTGGCCTGAGAGTAGGTGCCCTAAAAATGAAAACTGACAGTTCACGCTAATGTCTGCAGCAATGTTAAGAATTCAGTGCGTACATGAATTGTCTTTTGCATTACGCTCCAAAACATTTTGGAATGCATTAAATAAAATCTAGTTTGTGCAGCTAGTAGCATTTGAACTCACATACAAAAAAGAGTATGTTTTTCACCTTCTTGATTGAGACACCGTGATAAGTACTAAAAGATACACCGTGAGTAGTATTAACAGACTTCAGAAAGCTATTTCTGAAGTTAGGGGTGCACAGGGTAAACTAGTGGAGGGGTGGAAGGAGGAGTCCGATATCACTTTTCTATCCTGTCGTGACTAGACTGACACCTCTCTAGCTGTCAGCAAGGCCACAGCGGTTTGAGCTGGGATGCATCAAGCATTCCTGCGTCACCGTTGCCGCAGCTAGCTATCCTGTTAATCTGCATGCTACACATTCTAGAAATTTCTGTTGGGATAAGAGACTTAGCTTGTGCTTGCGGAAGGACATTAACTCACACGTTTCTAAGAACGCCCCGCAGAGAACAGGGCACAGTAATGCTGGCAGGTCAAGAGAGGCTCACACTAGGCTGCCAGCCTGTGTTAGTGTTCAGTAGAGCATTTGCACATTTTCAGTTCAGATTGTGATCTTTATATGAAAAACTACAATTAAGCACTGTTTTATGTGCATTCAGATGTTGAATTTCAATAACATTTGCTTAAATAAGCTACAGTTGTTTGCTTAAGAGACACACAGAATGTGAAAAAGACTCAGACCTGGTTTAGTATTTGAGTCCGGTGCAGAGGAAGATCTGTGTACTTTCCTAACAGGCTTAGATGGTTTCTTCTCTTTCACCCTGTCTCGCTCAGCAGGCCTCTGCTTTGGTTTTGTGCTCTCTGCTGTGAAGGACAGAGAGAGAAGATTAAATTGGTTGATACAGTTTATCAGAGGTATTATCATTAACTGAAACTATTAAAAACATTTTAATTTAAATACAACTAAAATAAAATAAAATATAAACAAATGAAAAATTCGAAATGTTACATTGGCAACTAACTGTTGAAGCACTAAAACTACTAATAGGAAATAAATGAAAACTAAACAAAAACTGAAATAACAGTAAATTAAACAGTAATATTTAAATAAAATAAAGTATAAATTTATATACTTTTTTTGTATTTTTAAGTATAAAAAGAATTCGAATGATTTCTAATTCGAAATATAAATAAAAACTATTATATAAATAATACTAAAACAACACTACTTTTCATTAAACTATACTCTTGACCATGCACATACTACCACACAACTGTCCACATTTACACATCAATAATTATTCAGTACTCAAACTGGCCCTTATAGTAGTAAAACAGGTAAAACTTCAATGATTCAATGAATATTCACATTATAAAAATGAAATAGTATAATATTATAACACACTTATAACTGCCCTTATGTGTCCTAAAGACCATCATTAGACTAATTTAACATCTAGTTGGTATGAGTGCATTAAGACGGGTGATTGATTTATTCTCGTAAATACTTTCAAACTAGGGTTGTGACGGTGAGGAAATTTTCCCACCGGTTAATCGACGTGTGACAACACCGGTAATACTGGTATCACCGCGGGGGCGGGGCGTTCCCTCTTTTCCTCGCTTCCCTTCGCTTTTAAATAGCTTGTAAAAGCAGTGTGCCCATTTGACTTTCACTTTTGAATTAGCGGCAGTTCGACGTCAATTGCTTGAATGCAACAACAAAATACAACATCAAACTCACTTTAGCGTATATATAATACGTATGTCTCACCCCACTCTTCTTGTCAGTCAGTTCGACTCACTCTCCTCACTCTCCTCACTGGATAAATGAAATCTGATCTGTGTGATGCGACTGTTGTTTGGCACACTGCATTGAGCAGCCGCGTTCAGTTTTTAATTGTGGTGTCTGTTCTTTTACTGAACTAAATGATTTTTATTACTATAAAAAATCAAAACGACGGTGGGGGTCGGTGACGCGGTGGGCAAGTGATGTAACCGGTGTTGCGGCTTAACACCGGTATCACCGTCGATCGCAGCAAGCCTATTTCAAACTACCCATTTTAATCCGTTTAAGTCAATTCAAAACATGGAACAGACAGAGTATGGAAAAAGGACATCTAAAACAAAATTAGATTTTTCTGTGATGCTAGATTCCTTATATAATTATAAAATAACTAAAATGGACTGCTACAAATGTGTACCATATGGCCTCTTTAACGACAGCAACTCAAATCTATTGCAGGTCAACAGGGAATTAAGCTGCATTGTTATGAATATTATAAATGAGCTTGTTCCATAATGCTATTTTAAGGAATGGTTGAGCAAACTGATGCAATCCTTACAAATAACCTTGAAGAAAACTCCTAAGTACAGTCTGACATGAAAACTTGTAACTACAGCTGTGGCAGTATGCCTGGAAACTCTGAGCCAATTAGGAGCATGTAAGTCATCGTCCAAGAGCGTTTTGGATTAAGCATGCTTTTTGACCATACTTCATTCCAGCAGAAACACATGAATTCTGTAAGTTGTTTCATCTGCTTTGAGAGGCAGTTAAAACAGTGTCGTTGTCCTAATTCCCATTCGCTACTCATGCTTCCAGACTCAGAAGGCTTACAATGGGCAGTAAAATACAGCTCTGTCACATGAATGGATAAACATTTTAATTCCATTCCATATAAATAAATAAATACCCAACTACGCTGCAATTAAGAGGATGACTCAAATGCAAAGCATATTTATAGCTCCAGTGATTTTAAGATAACAACCAATGATCTGTGTGAGATTGACATACTGTAACATTTTTGTGAGTACCTTAATTACACCACTGTAATGTGTTACACCACATTCACAGTGTGAATGTGTTGTTTCTTATAGCACAGACTAAGGCCCAATCCCAATTCTACCCTTTAGCCCTTTCCCCGTCTCGATTCTCTTTTGGTTGGAGGGGTAGGGGTAAGGGGAATGGCCAGATAGCCCTTCAAACGAAGATTTTTCGGGACCACACTTCAAACGAAGGGGTATGAATTATCTCAGAGTAAACCGGCTAAAGCGGCAACATGGCTGCCCGAGCATGGGCATTTTTGGCATTAAAGGGGTCACATGATGCTATTTTAAAGATCATTATTTTGTGTATTTGGTGTAACAGAATGTTGACGACATGCTTTAATGTTCAAAAAAACACGTAGTTTTCAACAAAGCCCCCTTCTTTGACAAGCGCAGTCTGCTCTGATTGGCCAGTTGACCCAGTGCATTGTGATTGGCCGAACACCACAAGCACGCGTCGGAAATGTAACGCCTCTTACCATAATCGCGAGCTTCAGCTTTCAAAGTAAATATCAAGACAGTTAATAATGTCGTTAGTTTTATCATCAGTTCAAGTCAAAAAGGGCAACAGAGTCGCGTGACGGACACAGTAATGATGCAGTACACAAGCCGCGGTTAAGACAGCTGACGTGCTATGATTTCTGACAGACAGTTCACTCTCCTGTGATGTGACCCTGTTCCCCTCACACACACACACGAAGCGTTACTGTGCGCAAAACTCCGCATATAACAGTCAATAGCAAATGCTTAAACTAATAACAAAACATACTTACAGTTGCTGATTCAGAAGCGCCAGATAGTCATAGCAAAGTCGGAATTTACTCTGTGTAAAGTTTACACTTTACTTTGTGCACAGCCAGCCTTATACTCTTCTAGGTTAAAAAAAAACTGTCATCCATAAAATGCGTTGCACAAATTCGAACATCTGGGTTGTGCTGTTCTGTTGTAAATAAATCTTAACCAATGATTCCTAAATGCATCTACGTCCGGAAGGCCAAATAAAGTGCTTTTGCTTTCGCACTGAAATACACAGCGTCTCCCTGACATGGCTGCATCAACACTACTGCTGTTCCTGAAACCACGCCTTCTTTCTTTGCGTGCACATTTGGGCGGCATTATGCTAATATTTCCACATAGTGACGTAGACATGTGGGGGCGTGTTAGAACAAGCCGTTTTAGGAGGGTGTGGTTGACTCTTAACTTTTATAAAGAATATCTCTTTGGATTTGAGACTTTAGTCTTTGCAACTTCACAGATCTTCTTTATGCACCAAGAGCTTGTAACACTCCAAAGAGAAAGGAAAACTTGAAATCGCATCATATGACCCCTTTAATAAAGATTTTACCGAAAAGTAATCATTTGTTTTATGTTACATTCAATCGTGAGTTCATATTTACGGTCATGTTAGAAATGTTTGCAAAAAATCGCTAAAGTTTGCTAAAGTCATATCATTACAGACTGCACTATAGTGCCACAACATATTTTCATGTCTGATCAGGGCAATAACCACCATAGACATTGAGGAGGGCTAGAAATTATAAATTGCTAAACCCTTTTCTCAAATATTGCCAATTCGAGAGAGAGAGAGAGAGAGAGATGAAAGTTGCGTGTATGCACGTTTCTCTTTTTAGAGTGCGTTTACTTCAAAAACAGCGATTTTATCCTCTTGTTGCTGGAAAATATAATGTAGCGATTCAGTATTTAAACTGTTATTAATAAAAGTTGTGGGGCAGCGTTGACTATTTTCTTTTCTCCTGGATGTGTGAGCTGCGCAATCTCTGATATGTGTGTGTGTCAGTAAGCAGCGCATATAGAACGGTAATTAAAGGCTCTAATGCACACCAGCACACCAGTATAGGTGTGAGTATTGTAGGAGCTAGACGACGTATGATGACGTGTGATGGTATAGTAGTGGTGTCCCAATTCTTAGGGGAATATTTTCAAGGGGAAGGGGAAGGGGTATAAAATAGAATTGGGATTGGGCCTAAATACTGTGGCTATTCTGTTGTTGTATTGCTGCATTTATTGTAATGTTTACACAAAGATATTTTAATAATTTATACTTTTTATTATATGACATATTATATTATAACATTCTGGAAAACTATGTATACCTGTAAGTTGTTTTGTCAGGTCTCTGTATATTTCCCTGCTTAAGTTCTGGAAGTCCTCCTCTGCCCACACTTTCCCATCAGGTGTGCGAATCTTAGTCTCACAGGTGTTGAAGCCTAGAAAACAAGAAAACACAGAAGTGAGCTTCCTCTTATTCGACAACCTCATAAAACATTTATCTGATGCTTTTATCGTAAGTATTTTCAAGTACACCTATTACTGGGACAGTACTCCTGGAGCAACCTAAGGTTAAGGCTCAAGCTCAATGGTGAAAGCCTTTTCAGGGTTTTAACCTGCTACCTTTTGGTTACTAGCCCAACACAATGGAGTTTTCCTCTCTGTAGTCGAATTACCTTTGTAAATGGGCGCTGGAGGGGCTGGGGCCACTTTCCGAACTTTAGCAGTAGGTACTGTGGTACTATGTGCTGCCGCCCCAATACCCACAGGTTGCTCCAAGTATCCCAGCAGATTGTTTCTTTCTTCTGTCTCCTCCAAATGTTCCCTCTGTCTGCGGATTCTGTCTTTCAGCTTTTCCAGCTTTTCATCAGGTTGTCGACGTCGCAGGCTCTCCAGCCGTAGTGAAGCTGTGACTGAACCGGTGATAGATGTCATGGAAGTCTGGGATGTCTGAGCCTGTAAGTGTGTTCTGGGGTTGACCTCTGACCATTGTGGGGCTTGGTCAGGTTGGTGAACGCCATTGAGAGCAGACAGGTCATTGAGGTAGCGTACAGATGCGTTGTCAACAGCTGAGGAGCGTGGGCTGTCCAGGTCTGCAGTCTGCATGTCTCGGGTGTCACGCTGATAGACCAGCTGGCTTAGTGCAAAGTTAGGCTCAGGGATGCCCACCTCTGTTGGTAAGGAATGGGCTTCTGGTTCAGAGTGGGTCTGGGGCACTGACAGCGGTGATGCTTCCCTATATTGAATAAGAATAACAAAAAAAGACAGTTTATAAATAAAAGGCCAGTTTAATGTGAGAAGCATTAAAGGATTTCCAAGAAACAACCTACAATCATATATGGTTGCAAATACACACTTCAGCTTTAACCCATTCATTTTTTGCGGCTTTTACCTGTATGAAACGAGTGGTTCTCTGAACTCCACTGCACTGGGTTTTCTGGCGTTACTGTCCAGAGTGCTGTTCCTCAAGGGACTGCGGGAACTTTTGTCTGGACTGCGTCGACTCCGTGTTCTGGACTTAGATCCACTTTCCTCTACATGATCCCCATCTGTAGTAAATACATGGAAGACATGTAAAGAATGGAAGTGGCAGAACTCTGAAGAATGTTGTACCATTCTTATATACATATATACACATATACACATATATATATATAAATATTATACACACACACAAAGAAAAACAAGTAGATAGAATAGAAAAAAATAGAAAGCTAGAGTTTGTTTGTTTTTGTTGTTTAAA